TAGCTTGTGAAGAAGCTTGGGAACAACTGCAGATTTAGTTCTGACACGAATAGGATCAATTTCTTCTTTAATTATGTTTAGAAGCCATATTAAAGTTTACTCAACCATGTCCACTGACAAAAAATATGAGACGTTTCTTGGTAATTCCATTCCATCATCTATTCTAACCGAAGTTATGTTTTCTCTTTTGAAACCAGGAGCAGATATGATACTGACAATTAAAGATGGAAGCATTGTCTGGTTGAATCTGGTACAAGGACTCACGATCGTAAGTGTCTCAGGCACAATTATGCAGAGAGAATTGTGATACCAATCTCTAATGACATTTCCCACAATAATGGGAGTGAACCAAGCTCATCATGCCTTCAGAAGTAAAGCAGGGGTTGAATGTCATGGCCAAGATTATTGACTCACTAGTACAGCAGCATGCATTCACGTGTTAGGCTGTTTGTACTAGTCTGGACAGGTCTACTAGTGCAAGCTGACTGAGATACCAGGCTGAGTTTAAATAGATCCCACATCTAAACACGGTACATTAACTCCACACTAATTTTCCTTTTATGCCATTAAAGGTGACTGCCAGCCAGGGTAACAACAAGCACCGCCTTTTGAAGCCCTTTGGCATGGCAAGACTGGGATGGAACCATGTCCGCTCCCTGGGCAGATTCTGCACCCACTACACCATGGAAGCAGTCTTGCAGGGAAAAAAAGACAACGCACAAGAGAAATCTGACGTTCTTCAGGCCCTAGACTCCCCTCAATCTGACTGCTAACACAAGACTCCCTTCTACCTGACTACAGTCTGGATACAGTCTCACAAGAAACATGATCTGATCCCGTTCCCATTGACCCAGTCAACTTAGGCTGTAAACCAGACCAACATATGGTCCACAGACTAGATCCCTGCTACTAGGAATGATTGACATCACAATCAATTGACAAGTGTCTGTCACTTTCCTATACAGCCCTTATCACATAATGCACATTATATTTATGGAATCAATAGGACAAATATCAATATTGCCAAAGAAATAATTGGCATTTGGAGCGATGGGACTAAAAACCATCAATTTGTGTTCTTTCAAACACTAAGTGCACACAAAATAGATTAGAAGCTTCCTTATAGGATCAGTTCTTTGTGCTAGTCGGTCATCAGATGTAACAAGTGAGTTATCATTTCCAGATGCCACCTATCAATTGTCCCATTTTCCATTAACACTTTTTAACACTTTCATGATATTTTTGTTACAGTATTTAATATAAAAGATGTAACAAAACTTGGAAGATTAGTAAAACATTAAGTAGGCTTTCACAACTGTAAATAAATACTTTCCTTTAGAATCAGTCACTAACCAGTGTGGAGCAAATAATTCTACATTTTCTGTTTGGACATGTGTACCTTGCTCAGTGTGTTTTTTTTGTTATTCACCAAATTCATCATAATTGCCATCATCATCATCATCATCATCATCATCATCATAAAAACGAGGACATTAGTCAAATAGTTCAACTGAGAATTTACACTTAATCATTCACATACTAACATCCACCTAAACCTTTTTTTTTCACCAAGATTCAATTGACGATGGAAACTTTAACACAATGCTAACTAACGTCAGCAATCAAGAACAGTTTGCTTCAGCAGAAGAAAGCATTAATAATGTATATAGAACAATTACTTCAACTAGCAGACTGTGAGGTTGATATTCAAGGACACTTAAAGGTTTGGTAGGCCGGGACACTGATTTGTATTTCAGCCATGAAAACAAGGTACTGTGGTGTACATGAAGAACGAAATACTATAGTGTACATGAAGAACAATGTAACTATGGTGTACATGAAGAACAATGTAACTATGGTGTACATGAAGAACAATGTAACTATGGTGTACATGAAGAACAATTTAACTATGGTGTACATGAAGAAAGAGGAACTGTGGTGTGCAATCAAAGGTACTACCCAATAATTCAACTACAATGAACCGTTTAGTGACCACATGAAAGGAGTGAGTGGGTGTGTCCAAACATTGTTCTACATACATCATGTGACCTCTGTGGGCAGGGAAACTGAAGTGATGCAGTTCCAGATAATCACTTCCGTGGAACCCACAATCACCTTACGTTGACGACATAACCAAACCAAGAATAATATTTAGGTCGAAGCTGTAACTGGCAGATCCTGGTACACCTGACGTAGGCAATTCTCCACACGTCTTTCTTGTAGACCATTAAGTGATAGAAAATATAGACCATGCCAAACTGCACAATAGTTAATGCATCATCTAGACGAGTAGAAATATGCCACTTATAACGGTTTTGCTATATGTTATCATTATAAAGGCTACTGAAATATTGCTGGCACTTTTTTTTTTAAATTAAAAATGAACTCCCCCTTCCCATTCTCAGCTCCAGCAGCCCCTACTCGGCCCCTTTTCACTTAAGTATTCCTTTCAGCATTATTCTTATGAATAACTTCATTTTGAGGACTATATATTTTATCTATGAATTTTATCTTTCAGTGATTACAGTCCACAAGTTTCGACTGGCACTTGCTAAATTTCGCTGTAGCTCACATTCTTTAGCCATTGAGGAAGGCAGATATCTCAGTGTACCAAGGAATGAAAGAATTTGTAAAGTCTGTAGTGTAATTGTGGTTATATTGAAACAGAATATCATTTTTTATTGATCTGTACTGTTTCTGATGATCAACGTCAACGATACACTGCCAAGAAATATTACAAATATCCTACTGTGACAAAATTTAATATATGTCTTCTAACCAAACATCTGTTGTTATATATTTAACCTGTTCTATTTACCATGCCTCGCAGCCTAGACAGGTTATAGTAAAGTGAACTACCTTATACCTCTTGTACATCTCTGTAACACATATTCAGTCAGTCATTGAACGAATTTGTAAAATCCGTAACTGTGCCTATATTGAGACAGAATATCATTTTTATTGATCTGTACAGTTTTTGATAATCTACGTCAACGATATATGGCCAACAAATACTACGAATATCCTTATGTGACAGAATTTAATATGTCCATGTCTTCTAACCAAACATCTGTTGATAGTAACTTTGCCTGTTATATTTACCATGCCTCGCAACCGAGACACACTATAGTAAAGTGAACCAACTACCTCATACCTCATGTACATTCTCTGAAATATATATACATATATGTATACACTTATATGCAGTGGACCAATCAATATTGTACTTGGGGCCGTTGGCCCACATCTGTACTGAAATATAGAATTGAATTGACTATATATATATATATATAGTATATGTATACAGACTCTTGGGGAAACTTACATAAAAAGACCAATAATTGAAATAATTAATCACATAATGTGCTCATTACAGTCACACATGTACTATATAGTTGAGTTTTTGGAATGGTGATTCTCTAAAACATACAAATTTCAAAGAAAGTCTATTAATGTGAGAGAAAAAAGTATTGATATTTCTTAAAATATAGAAAAAAGAATCCCTATCATGGCTACGAAGCCAAAACAATTCAACATTCAAACATATAATCTTTGCCATCTCACTACCAAAACAGCAGTTCACCTCATATCATGGTCCCCAAGTAAAGGTTGACAAAGAAAAACCTACTCCTTTACAGTCGTAACAAACATTCCAGTTGGTGTAATATACATCCATCAACATCTGATGTTCTCTCATGATGGTACATAATCTGTTTCACTTAACACATAAAATATATATGAACAAAAAGCCTCATTCTAGTTTAAGTTTGGATCAAAATCTAATAATTAATTTAGAGTGGCATTACCGGCCATTTTCAACAAATGGATGCATGGAAGACTGCTGAACACTGTAAAATACCACTTGAAAAATTAATAACCAACTCTCACCGAAACCAAATAGGTTAAAAGTAAATAATTAACATGCTTTGCCTGATGATATTTCTTTCCTTTGTCTCTGTCGGAAAAAAAATCAGCTGAATATATTTTTGTTATGGACATATTTATGTCTTGAATCCCCAAAACAACACTGACATAACAATCGATTGTTTCATGAAACTATTCCATCTTTACTGCATCAGTTGACTGAAGAAAAACATTGTAAATAATATGAACTTCCATGTTATTGCTGTGAATAGAACCTGGACATCAACAATAGTGAACTGTAAACCAAACATTCTTTCCTGCTTTGTCAGTTCAGCAAGTCAGTTTTTCATGCACAAACTTTATTTAGATTCTACATTTACAAGTGTAATCAAGTGTAGTTCTTCAGCTCTTGTTACGCAATATGTGACAGAAGACTGACAGATTCTAAAGACTACTCATGCATACAGGTATACTCCTTACTACTCATGAATGTTATGTAAGCCAGGTGATATATTGGTCCTAATTAAGCTTGATGGACAGGTGTCAGTTTATGTTCCACTTGAGTAGTTCATGGTAGTTTGAAATAAGACTAATTGGTTTATGACTGCTGATCACGCTGATTGCGAACAACTTGATTACCGTGAATGCCCTCTCATGCAGCTTTTCTCATAAATACCACTGTATGTTAGAATCGTGTCATTTGCAAATTATAAACATTATTTTAAGATCTGTATAAAAAAATAAACTTGATCACAAATAAATAAACAACACATGAGCAGCTATTAGCATCGCAAATTTGCTGCCTAAATGAAGAAAAAGTGGAACATTACAAGAAAGTTGTGAAAACATCAAATGTGAACAAAAAGACCTGGTGTGGTTGTGTACATTGTTTGTTAAGAATGCAAAACCAAGCGAGATGCACAGTATGGCTACCCCTCTGATCAAACAAAGGGGAGCCAGGCTCGTGGGAAAATTTGCTCATGCGTCAGATTGGACCACTTTAATATGCATCAGTATCAGGAAGTGGTTTCATACACTCCCTTTCCTATTGACAAGTCATCTACAAACTCATTTAAGTCATAAACTTGATGAAAGCCTTGACAAGAAATGAAGTTAAAATCACAACAAATGCCTACCTGTGACAAGTATCCACCATTCTCATTCATGGTGAAAAAATCTGCCACTGGCTGCTCTGCCAGTGTAATGAAAATTAGTCTGTGGTTGTAAAATTTACTCTAAACTCCTCTTTTGACACTAATAAATGATCCAGTCAGCTTTCTGTGTCGAGTGTGGGTACTCCTTTTGAAACACATAGGTAGAGATGTTCCTCATGGGTACAGTACAACAACTCTACTACCAGTTATCGCGATGCTGGTACTAAACTTTGAAACGGACACTCGTGGGAAAATACAGTTGTAATTGACATCGTGAGAACAATGATGGCCGGCTGTGCCGTCCTTTGCTAACACTCCCCCGGTAAGACAAAAAAGTACACGAAGCAGAGCTGAAAGTTTCACTGAGATCTCAAGTCACACTTAGACAAACATATAAACGAAGTAATGACAGTGCAATCATTTCAAAGTGATAGGACATCCAGATGAATGCTGGTAAGTATTCATTTTACGTAGGAGGTGTAAGGAAGAGCCAGTTTCCCAAGTTCGGGACAAAGCCCATTGGTACTTTCCTTATATGGAAAGCAGGTGTTCCCACGGCTAGTCAGCGTGTTTTGGTCCAATGGATTTTGATAACAAATAAGCCATAAGGTCGACAGACCCCCAAGTTAGCTTTCCCCGTCAGTCGGCGTAAAATAATCTGACGAGAAGGAGAGCAAAGATGTGTAAAATAGGTCTGACACGATTCATTCAAAATGTAGCCCAACGACTTGCAAAACAGTGGCATAAATATTTCGGTATACATGCATAACAATTATAGCAATTATGCCTGCAACAGATGCAGTAACCAGTCGCAAGTGTATATACCATGCACACTGATTATATATAAAACAAAATGCAGACGTGGTATCACTCACCCGTTCATAAGAACAACGCCGCACTTAGTCAAATAATTTGTCGAGTCGGGACTCGAGTGAAGTCCAGAGCTGTTTGACAGTTTACCGAAAGTCGGAAAGGTTAATTCTCCCTCATGAAGGAAGGGCATGTAGCGTCACAACTCGATTTTCATCTCAGACAATAATACATCTCGAAACCGTCAACGCAGTAGCCCGATATTTCGTGGCGTGATATTATATAGATATAACTTTTTCCAAATTCAACTAGAAAGTTACAGCCAATATGGCGGACATTACATCTGCCCATGCGCTTGTTTTGGTTCCTACTTCCGGTCGGGATGCTGTGAAGTCTGGGTGTTAGTTGATATTTAGTACGCAGATGTGAGCGAATTTATGTCAGTTCGTATATATAAGTGACAGAGTCAATGTAGATCTGAAAGTAGTTTGGTGAGAAATGTCTTCAGGCAATGATCAGAGTCCCAGAAAAACTACAGCGTGTGGATCGGAGATGGAAGCAAGCCAGACCCAATCTACAAGTGACAGTTCACCTCAGGCCAGGCCTGGCAGTGATCAAGATGCAAATAACTCCAATGTATCAATGCTGAATGAAAAACCTAGTACTGAGAATACTGATAAAACAGGTGAACACAGAAAACTTCTATTAACTTATTCAATTGAATACTGTGAGCCTAAACAAACTGAAAGATAACCTTATTGCATTATAAACATGATATTTGTTTCTGTCAACCATGTGAGAGGTGATCTAATTTATCAATATTCTTATGACTGTTAAAAACGTCATACTGTGAATATTATGGTTACCTTTTCCACAGATTGTCTCCCATCGATCTTTGCACTATGATTGTTGTGAGTGGCAATTATGCTCACATAGTGCAAATGTAGAGTGCCAATTATATATATGAATGTTTCTGTACTGATCCTTATATACCTTTAACTTGCTATAAAGATCTATACCAAAACGTCACCATATTAATATTAACAAAAGTTGCAATCCATACAACTGCTACTCTGTCATTACCCAAAGTCTAAAGATGCCTAACAAACAACTTAGTGCAAAGGTAGTTTAGTGGAAAGGGACCCAGTTGAGTTGTGAAAGGTAAACATAAGTATCATCAACATAGGTGAGGTGAGGTGAAATTGGGTTTTACATCGTGTACGAGAATATTTTGCTCATATGACGACGTGCATGCGTGTGTATGTGTATGTGCAGCTGCTTGTACTAGCCCAGACTGAAGCTGGTTTTATAGTCCTAGCCCACTGAGATACCATGCCGCAGTGAAGCATGAATACCCCACTCAGACACATTATACTGACTCTGAGCCGACCAGTCCTTGATGTACTCATTAATGCCGAGCGCCAGACAGGGACCAACAAGTACCATATTTTAACGTCTTTTGGTATGACACGGTCGGGGATCGAACCCACAACCTTCCGCTCTCCGGGCGGACTCTCAACCACTACACCACAGAGGCGGTTCGTCAACATAGAAACACTAGCATTATAATTTATGAATTAAGGAGGGATAGTATTTAAGCAAGAAAATCAACTTCCACCAGCCAAGAGTGAAAGCATTGTGGGAACTTCCCCCACAATGCTCAGTTATCTACTAGTCCAAAGGATACATTTAGTATTGAACTGTATCACACAAAGACTAGTAGCAGTATTGCAGGGTATGGTATGAGAATCCGTCATACCAAAAGACGTTAAAATCTGGTACTTGTTGGTCCCTGCCTAGCGTTCAGCATTAATGGGTACAACAAGGATTGGTCGGCTCGGAGTCAGTATAATGTGTCTGAGTGGGGTATTCATGCTTCACTGTGGCATGGTATCTCAGTGAGCTAGCACTATAAAACCAGCTTCAGTCTGAGCTAGTACATGCAGCCACGCTTACACACGGATGCACATCGTCATATGAACGAAATATTCATAAGTAGGACGTTAAACCCCATTTCACCTCACCTAGTATGTGAATATCAAGGACAAACTGAACACCATTTTCATTGTTTGAAATTAAGGAGGTTGCTCTTATAGTCCAGGGCACCATGAGTCTGAAATATTCAATATGAAGGTCATTACAAGTAATTTCAACACATTTCAACACTTAATTTCATTATTATTTAATAAGGCAAAGGGACTGAAAAGTGAGATTATTTTTCCAAATGGGGATTTTCTTTAATGCTTTCCCCCCTAACAAATATTTTGACACTGTATATGAACACAGGGGTGGAAATAACTTTAAAATTGCTAGTGTACTTGGGTACAGTGGCACATGTAAAATCACTTGCCCTGGTAATTTTGCCACTATACCAGTTGATTTCCTTGTTTTGTTTTTTTAAAAAGCAACATAATTAACATCGGGAAGTCAACTGGACATCGGTAGAGAGTGATATACAAATTTGCTTGCCCGACAGAAAAAAAACACTGGACTGGGACGTCGGGCAATGGGTTATTTCCACCCCTGGAACACACATAAGTTCAATGCAGTTATGGAAAATTAAGCTCTAAAAGTTCTTCCTCTTCATTGATCCAACCGTCAGTAAAAAACAAAAGTCATCTAAAGTTTTAACCTCCATAAAGACTGAATCAACATGAATTTGGAATGTTGTAGTTCCTTGCTGGGAATGTTCACTTACATTTGCTGCAGGTCTGGGACTGAATATTGGCTCAGAGCAGGTCCTGATAAAGTTTAAGAATCATAGTCCTGTCATCACTTTACTATCCCCTTGTTTATCTCCACTGCTTTACTATCAAGGATGGGGCAGTGGGGTAGCCTAGTGGGTAAAGCGTTCGTTTGTAATGCCGAAGACCCAGGTTCAATTCCCCACATGGGTAAAATGTGTGAAGCCCATTTCTGGTGTCCCCCTGTCGTGATATTGCTGGAATATTGCTAAAAGCGGCATAAAACTAAGCTCACTCACTCGCTACTATCAAGGATAATTCCCCTGTCCCAGATGTAAAGAATATAGCTATTGTTTACCCGTGAATTTTATTTTTCAGCAAAATCTAATTCTGAAGCAGCTAACCCTGGTGCAGAAGAAAGTTTGAATTCACTTGAGGCAGATCAAAATGGCACACAAACGAGCAGTAAAGGACAAGCTGAGGTCACGCCCATGGACCAAACTGGATCTGATCAAGCAGTCAGTATGGACATTGAAATTGATGCACAGCCAGAAAATGTAGAGTTACCTCCCACTGATAACAAACCAAATGTGGAGTTACCTCCCCTTGATGGGTCTGCTGCAGCTGAAACATCAACTTCAAAAGAAAGTGAAACACCTGCAACAGATGTAGCCTTGAGCAATGTTGTAGAGTTGCCTCCCCCTGATGAATCGTCTGGTGGTGAACCTGGCACTTCTGCCTCCGGTGCTAAAGATGACTTGTCAGGCCAAAGTGTTTATTATATTAAATGGATTCACTACAAACAGAACAAAGTGCCAATTATAACACAAAATGAAAATGGACCCTGTCCTCTCTTGGCAATAATGAATGTTTTATTGTTGAAGGGCAAGGTCAAACTTGCTCCTATGATTGAGATGATCACGTCGGAACAGCTTATGACGTATTTAGGGGAGAGTATCTTAGACAGCATGCCAGAGGTAGGTGGCAATATTACTTAAACAAAATCATAAAACAAACAATCATCAAAATCAGTTTATTGATGCTTTTTGTAAATATGTGTCATGGTTTTTTAACATTATCATTTAAATAGGGTATGGTATGAAGGGATAACGGTCTAAGTCAGCCAAGAACCCAAATACCATACAGTTTTAATATACATTCTGATAAAAGTTATGTCCCTTAGCAAATAAGGGAATTTATGTTCAAGATGTTAGTGTGAAATGCTCTAATGCTAAGGGGGGGCCGTGTATTGCCTGTTAGTGCTATGTAGTTCATTGCGATGAGGGGCGGTTGGGTAGCCTAGTGGTTAAAGCGTTGGCTCGTCACGCCGAAGACCCGGGTTCGAATCCCCACATGGGTACAATTTGTGAAGCCCATTTCTGGTGTCCCCCGCCGTGATGTTGTTGGAATATTGCTAAAAGCGGCGTAAAACCAAATTCAGTCAGTCAGTCTAATGCAAAGGGACATAACTCTCAAGCTGCGTTTCAAAGATTTGGATTTGTTCCAGATGGTTTAGATAGAAAATGATGTACAGTTGGACTAAATGTAGTTTTTCTTCATTAAGATCATGTCAGAATTTGTTGGATAAAATGGAATAAAAAATGTACAGATTGGTTCTGACAATTCAACAATCAAAACATGTTTTTTGCATAGAAATGACTTTTGCAAGATGACCTTTGAACCTCTAAATGTGATATTTCGTGTAAAAATTAAAGAATCTTTGCCAAAAACAGCAGTGTAGAATATGAATATAACTGCCAAGTAACTGCTGTGAAGTTTTGGTTTCATTGACTACTGTTCAACATCTGACAACAAATTTAACTTGAAGTGTATGTTTAAATAAGCTATTTAAAAGGCATTAACAACCCCACAGACCCCCTTTAGTTTCAGACACTACTTGTAATAAGCAAAAATGTTGTTTGGCTTTTTTCATTCCAGACACCCATTTGGGCATATTTCTAGTTTTGATACTTAATTTTTTTTTCGATATCTTAATGTCAAGCGTATTTTAATATTACATTCCTTGAAGTAAACTAAGCATTGTTTTCTTCTTGTGATCAGTGAATACAAGGCACCTCCATGAAGCTAAAACATTTGAAAGAAGTGAAATAGGAAATGTATAACCCCAGGTTCTAAAAGATCTTTGTAGATTTCATATTAACAATCAGCCTCTGAGGAGAATATCTCTTACAAGCACTTGCGTACTTTGACATGAGTCTGGTTGAGATGAACTTGAGTAGCTGACCAGTGGAGATGATTACAATCTTCACATCTCTCATGATGCTGTCTGAATATTTCTTCTTTTTTTTCAGAATCTCTCCAAGTCTGTTCGAGCCAACTATGAGCAGAATATGCAAGATGCTATGTCTGTGATGTACAAACTCCAAACTGGCCTTGATGTCAATGTCAAATTTTCTGGGTAATATGTGTAAAGTTTTTTTTTCTTGAATTAATCGTTTACCTGTATCGTATGAACTTAGTAACTAAATGATAAGTAGACACTGAAGAAAGACAAACAAGCAATTTCCCACTCACTCCATGACTACTCACTCACTAACCCAACCAGGTGTTGTACCTTGTAGGGTATCAGACTTCGAGTACACCCCTGAGTGTATCATCTTTGACCTGCTGGGCATCCCCCTGTACCACGGCTGGCTGGTGGACCCCCAGGACCCAGTGTGTACCTCTGAGGTGGGCATGTGCAGCTACAACCAGCTAGTGGAGAAGATCATCGCACAGAAGAGTTCCGACAGGGAGGAGACAGTCACTGAAGGTGAGAGGAAGTAATGCATTCTCACAAAGGAAGGGAGTTGGGGTAGTCACGTGATAAAAGTGCCCAAGTGATTCATGTCATCTAGCTTAAGTTGGACCTTTGACTGATTCTTATCCTGATTGTCCCAAAGATACCACTTACAAGTTGTAGTCTTTCCCCAGGATCAAAAAACGGCAGGGCGACAGAATGTCAAAAGTTGCCCCCTTATTTTTAATGGGGCATGCAATGACATATTTCCAAGTATTATGTCAAGTTATCCATGCATATGATTCTTAAACACTCAAAGAACAGAGTTATTTCACTTTACGTAACATAGAAACTAAAAACCATGTGTTGAAATAAATTATTGTAATAAAAAGAATCGCACGCACCAAGTAAAAAGGGCAGGGTCAGAAATAAACAGGGCTGTGTCCTGTTAAAAATGTCTAGCGGAAACACTATTTTAACAATGTCATATAAGAAGTTGATATCACTGAAATGTCCTCATACCGTTTGTCTTGAGCTGAGTTACTGTATTATCCAGCCTCATGTAAGAATGTCGAGTTTTGATTGGTATCACGGACTCTGATAAAATACCCGCGATCCGCGAGCAGGAGTACAAAAGTCGATCATCCCTCGAAGCCTTTGATTGGCCACGACTCTCGGTGACCACGCAAAAGTATGATGTGTGAAAAGCGTGCATCGCCAAGCCTTTAGTAACGTGCACTGCATTGAGGTCAATCGATCAGCTGGTGTCAACATGGCAGCAAGGAAACGTTTTGCCACAACTGAGAATGAAATTGATGTGTATTGTTTTCTTTTTATTTAGTACAAACATTCGGCTAGATAAATGCCTTATCACATCGTGTCGAGGGAAATACAGGGTTTTATTCCCTGAGGGGAAGTCCCTCGTAAGGTTGTAAGGAGAATACAACCTTACTCGGGACTGATAAAACCCCATATTTCCCTCGACACGATGTGATAACTTATAATGTTGCTCAAGTACTGTTTGATGTAGGGCTGTGTATTGGCAAATAAACTGTATTGCAATATGTATTGCGATATATTGGGAACTTAAGTGTTTGACAGTGAGTGAAACTAATTGTGCAAGTCAATCCTATTTCTTCATTATAGGTCCCTAAACATATGTTATAGTTCTGATAACAGCAATCTCAAAATTATGTTGCATAGTCAATGATTCTATTTTCTTTTTTATCCAATTTATAGTATTACAGTATGCCGTTTTGTCGTTGAATAACGAAGGAAAACATCTGTTGTGAATGAAAGTCTGGGTTGATTGTAATTTGAACCATAAAGATAATCACATAAACTTCATATATGTTCTTTACCCAATATACTGGTTCTCAGAAAAAATATTGTAATACGTATCGTTTGAAAAGCGTATTGCGATATACCATATGCCAGTAATATCATGCAGTTCTAATTTAATGTGTCATCTGTGCAAACCACCCAACAAAAGATCAACATGCTGTATTAACTATAGCTGAGAATGTGCTGATTGTGGTTGGACGAAGAGAAATGTTGAACCCGCAGAACACATGTGTAGAGAGTTACCTCCCTTCAAACTTCCAGTTTGACATACTTCACCTGTTATCATCTGTATTTGATTAGAACCAATTGATAAATTAAGACAGCGTTTAAAATTCCCACCTGCCCAACCGTTCAGAACGGTCTATTTTCATCTCGGACGGTCAAACTTCAAAAGTAGCCTGTCCAGTGGTCTGGTAGATATTTTTACCCCTAAGAGTAAATATTTCATAATATCAGACAGGTTCTCTTGTTGTCAGTTTGAGGTGATTAAGGTATTATGATAATTATGTTAAACTACTTACGACTGGACACTTCATGTTACGATAACCAATCACAATCATGTACTTTCAGTTTACCTAAACTCAGTGTATTGCCTGTTAGTGCTATGTAGTTCATTGCGATGAGGGGCGGTGGGGTAGCCTAGTGGTTAAAGCGTTGGCTCGTCATGCCATAGACCCGGGTTCGAATCCCCACATGGGTACAATGTGTGAAGCCCATTTCTGGTGTCCCCCGCCCTGATGTTGCTGGAATATTGCTAAAAGCAGCGTAAAACCAAACTCAGTCAGTCATTGTGATGCCTACAAACATTGAAAGGAGCTTGCGTGAGTTGGAAATGGCAGTCACAGTTTTTAATTGTTGAAAACCTGACAGGCAAGTTTGTATCCGGAATGGTAAGTTACCAGTCCGACTGTCTGGCTTAGAATTTTGGGAATTTTAAACACTGCTTAAGAGCTGTATTTCAGGGTGTTTGCATGTCGCGTCATTGCCATTTGATAAAAATTGAAAATGGATACATCAGAATGATGGGTGGAAATCTGTCCCTGAACATAACATTAAAGTGAAGAGAAGAAAAAAATAGTGTTCAACTCGCACATTCAAGAATGTCACACTTACAAACTGATGTACATGCACATGTGTGCTTGACTGACTGTACTAGTCATTGTACATATGTCGGTTTTATAGAGCCAGCCAGTTTAGACACCTTAATAATAATGATTATATAGTGCCAAACTCCACACCAGGTATGCTCATAGTGCTAACAAACAGAGCACAGCACATTATTACCCCAGATAACCCAAGCTGTCTGCTAGACGCTAGAAGAATATAGTCACATGACTTATCCCACCGGGTACCCATTTTCTGCTGGGTGAACCTTGCTGCAGGATACCCACACAGACACTTTAATCTCATTGTATGTTGACCAGTCCTAGTTTGATCCTCCTAAGTGCCAGGCAGGGTAACAAAAAGTACCATCTTTAATATCTGCTATGATTCTGCTCTCAGCAGGCGCTCTGTCCACTACACCATGGAGACAGTCTGTCAATATATAACATGGAAAGATTGTTGATGCCGTAGTAGACATGTTTTGTGGACATGTTCAAGAGCATTTTAATAGTGTCATGGATTTAATTGGACAGCAGAGAAAAGCAAAAATACACCTTTTATCTTGGATAAGAAATAACCCAGCTTATGACTTGAGAAAGATGCTTCACACATAGTAATCATGCTGGGAATAAAACACAGACCTTCAGCATGAAAATGGAACTCATTTGTTACCCAATGAATGGTCATGATTGTATCACAATCACCTGTAGGTGTTTTCCTCAGTGCAGTGAAGGTACACATGTCAATTGCATACATGACAAGAGGCTTCCAATCTAACTCAGGGATAATTCTGGACTAGTATATGAAGCCACACATACATAAAGTGTATTATGTAAAGTCAATATAAAACACTGAAAAACATAAATATCCATTTTAAAGTTTCCAGAGTCAAACAAGGAGATGGCAATGTTCGCTTCGTGGACAGAACCAGATGGTCTAACGGAAGACTTGTACACTGTATACTTGAATATGAATGCAAAGTAAACATTTTTCAGTTGTATTCTTTTCAAAATTTTGTGGGGCGGTGGGGTAGCCTAGTGGTTAAAGCGCTGGCTCGTCACGCCGAAGACCCGGGTTCGATTCCCCACATGGGCACAATGTGTTAAGCCCATTTCTGGTGTTGCCCGCCGTGATATTGCTGGAATATTGCTAAAAGCGGCGTAAAACTAAACACAGTCAGTCAGTCAGTCAAAATTTTGTTGTTCCTGTCGAGTACATGCAATGTAGTCAAGGGGAGGCAATCGTTGGAATTACATTCTGATTATCTCCCCTTACACAAAAACTCAATCAACATGGGGAAACATAGGAATGAAAACATTTATGGTTGGCAATGACTTTTAAATGATTTTTTTTTTTTTTAAATTGAATATGAGATCCTGTGGCTATAATCAGTTTACAAGTCGGAAGCTTATGATATTGTGTGTTCCTCTTTGAAAATCATGTGACTGTATGATAGTTTTCCAGGTTACACAAAGAAAAATAGTGTGCCATTGACTTCTGAAAAAATTAACTAAGCCCTCAACAGCTATTATATGTGCATTTGTGCATTGTCTGGCCAGAAAGTAGCAATAAAAACCAAAAATATTACTACCTCACTTTCCGAGTACAGGAATCTAAACAGACTGACCCCAGTTAGACAATATGTCACCTGCTTTAAAATATCAGTGGTTTCACTGAATACTGAAAAACATGGTCACTTTTAATTGCTGGATGAATGCACATTTAATAAGAAACACAAAAATCTTACATCAAATCAGCTGTTCATTGGTGCCAGATGATGCAATCTGCGCTGAAGGCTCCCTGTGAAAACTGCTTGTTAAACAGACTGATTCTGATTTAGTGTTGTGTAAACTCAAAGCTGGCCAGATAATGAAGCGGAACCTAGCTTCAGTGTCTTCTTCTTTCAGAATTGTTCACAGCTTTCTAATTGTTTTGTCATAATCAGCGTTTAAAATTCCCGTCTGCCCGACCGTCCGGAACGGTCTATTTTCATCTCGGACAGTCAAATATCAAAAGTAGCCTGTCCGGTGGTCTGGTAGCTATTTTTACCCCAAAGAGTAAATATTTCATAATATCAGACAGGTTCTCTTGTCGTCAGTTTGGGGTGTTTATGGTATTATCATAATTATGTTAAACTACTTAGGACTGGACACTTCATGTTACGATAACCAATCACAATCATGTACTTTCAGTTTACCTAACCTCGGTGCATTGCCTGTTAGTGCTATGTAGTTCATTGCGATGCCTACAAGCAGTAAAGAAACCTGATTTTATTAGTTTTTTTATTGTTGAAAACAGGACAGGCAAGTTGTATCCGACTGTCTAGCTTGGAATTTTGGGAGTTTTGAACACTGTCATAATTCAGGAGAGCTACAGAACCTTTTTATCAGTAGAATGGTCCTTGAAGCAATTTGTTGTCAGTGAAAACGCTTGAGTGTGAGTGAGTGAGTTTAGTTTTACGCCACTTTTAGCAATATTCCAGCAATGTCTCTGCTGGGGACACCAGAAATGGCTCCATACATTGTACCCATGTGGGGAATCATGACAAGTGAAAGCTTTAACCACTAGGATCTGCCACCACCCCAGAAAAGTGCTCGAGTGTTAAATCCACATATCAGTATGAATCAGAATGGTTGTATGAAATATGTGGAGTGATGATTTGGGTGATGTTTCAGCACTGGTGGCGGAGCAGTTCCTGGACCGTACAGCCTCCCAGCTCACCTACTATGGTCTGTGTGAGTTGAACACGTCCGTGAAGGAAGGGGAACTGTGTGTCTTCTTCCGAAACAACCACTTCAGCAACCTCTATAGAGTCAATGTGAGTAGCATTGATAATAACAACTATTACCAATATAAAAAGTGTAGACTCACTGAAAGCACTCACTATATGTTATGTATATATATATATATATATATATATATATATGGTTACATCGAAGATCATCCTCGATAATCTCCAGGGTATACGTTCCGATAAATCTATACCTTGGATGCATCTCCAGCTCGAGCTGATGATTTTATTACCTCCCTTTGCTGGCTCCGCATTCTCACAGTAGCCAATCAGATACAGCCACCGTTACAACCGAGCTTGCCAGTGGCAACAGAGATAGCAGTCGTAGCCACGAAAGTTTGTTCGCAGTGCGACTCAGATTTTGGGGGAAACATACAGACAAATTGACAGGTCTGAAACCTTAAAAAAATATATGCAAGAACTCCCTCTACCTCTTTCAGAGCACCTCTGCAACAATATATTATTGTGTTGCCAAGTTTAATCAGTTAGATAATTTAGAAATCGAAAGTGAATTTTGATTGGTACGCTCAACTTCCCAGCGTAGACACCTGATTGGATTAAAAGACAACTAAGGGAGGTAATAAAATCGTCTCAAGCCGTAGATGCATCCAGGGTATAGTGCAGATTTTTCGGAAGGTATACCCTGGAGATTATCGAGGATGATCAAAGCTTGACTTCTCCACTTTGGGGGACTAACTGCGAACCTTATGCAGATGAATTGCACGAGGATCATGCTTCAAATTGCTGAAAAGCATGTGCAAATATCATGCATGTGGACAGCTGTGTTTTGGTGTAAATGATTGTTAAGAATTTGCCAATTTCCACTGATTTTTATCATTTATTGAACTCATGACTATAATCTTTTCAACGTTACCAATTTGTTTTACAATACATCAGTTCATGTGTAAACAGTACCTTTAAACAGTATGGAACATTTTGAAAAATTTAGTTTAGAACAGTTGCCTGAAGTAAGTGGCAATATTTACACTAGTGAGCCTAAACTTTTGATGGTAAGTACATGATTGGATGGTGATATGATAATCTGCAACTGACAACATGGTGAATTAGCATTCCACTAGGTATTTACTGGTCCCTGACACAGAAGGTTTTGCTGGTTTCCGTTTGTAATGACCAGCAATGTTCAGCTGCTCCTTCACTTGAACTAATGACATGTCTGTGAAGGGTAGCTTGAAGCAAATGATGTCACTGGCTGTACCTTCATTACACTTCCAAATAATTACTTGCATGGTATTGGTAATTCATTTTCTAACCAAACTAAAATTTATGCCACACCCATTAACTTGTATATAGAGAATGGCTGATAATAGAATTGGCTTTCAAAATTGAAGGTAAGCTCATGGATGGTATTAAACATATTTAGAATTCAAAGTTTGAGTTGGATATGAATCTAAATTAAATAAAGCGCCATGTTAATTGTGTAATGCTCAAATATCAGTAAAATGTAGGCAAAATATTTTATAGGAGGGAACATACTGAGTGAATTGATCAGGGTGTCAATCAAAATGGCCTAATAGCTTTACATGCACATACATGTCGAGAACTGATATTGTGGAGTACGTCCAGAGCTGTACAGGAAATAAACAGGAATGCAAGGTTTCTGGAGGATTTTGGTGGTTAATATTAGTGTTGGAAATTGGTTGAAATGTCACAATTGATGATTGGCTCATTACTAAGAAACAATCATTGAAATAAAATTGGTTGGCAGCGTTTTTCAGATTTTCCTATTCAGGTTGTTATTGCAGATAAGTATAACATGATGCAACTTGCTACTTTAAAGTGATGACTGATATATCATGAACATAAACTTCCTGGAGTCTTCAAAAAATATTCAGTCATGACTATTCAGTCAGTAAAGTGAGTTTTCTAAGAATTAAAAACATTTTCAGGCCCTGACAACTTCTAAGATATGTTCCATCCTCAAGTATTTCAAACAGGAAAACAGTAGTTCCAAAATCGTTTGTGTTTGATTATGAGAAAATGTGATCGATTGCTTGGTTGTTAGGTCACTGCTACCGATCTTAGATTGTTTCAATCAATCGGAACACCACTAGTTAATATACCTGGATAAAGTCGGATAAGGTCAGAAAAGATGGTTATTGTAGCTGTGTTACTTTAAGGTGTGGATCCTGCAATTAACTTGAGCTTCTACTGGGATAAGTGCAGATGGATTACGAAGGCTGTGCTGTTGTTTTCGCAATGTTATACATTAGAGCGTTGAGCACAAGACTTCTGACAAGCATATCAAAATCTTCATTTAGTGCACCTGATAATTCACAAGGGGTCTTTGTGGCACATGTTGTCCAGTATTGTTGGTGCTACAGTTTGCTTTGCTGAGTTGTCCCTTACATGTGCCAGGACCCTATAATTGTGGGTCCACATCTCCAGTTTTGTCAGCTCCATACCAAGTTGTAAACGTCAAGGAGCTGCATCACTCACAACTTTCTAAATTCATCAAGCTGACATTCCATGATATAACTGAAACACTGTGCCACTCACTCACTAACTCACTCACTCACTCTTGAGGCCAGTAAATATGTTGCATTATGGATAATTCAGTATGAATTAAACCATCACTCCAATAAACATAATAACACATTCTTTATTCATATATTATTTTATTTGTTTTGTAAAATGTACAAGACAGGAGTTAAGAGATATTTACACTTTGTGCAGGTATATATTTCTGTTAAACTACTGTTTGAATATGCTACTGTAAAATAAGAAGACTGTTAGTACTCAAACTTTGCACTTGTTATTATTTTATAATCTGCCGTGTCACGCAGTGTCATATTTAATGTTTGGGAAATGTGGAGAAGAAATTGTACATATTGTATAAATCATTGGCTGGAAAAGAAGAGGAACTATTCAAATAAAGCCAAACGCTGTTGTGATGCAGGAAATGATGACAAGTTAAGGAACAAGCAAAGACAAATTTTCACTTGAAGTTCAACTTATCAAAATTAAAAACAGTGTTTGATTGTAACTTAAACATTCATTCACCATGAATATGTACAATGCTCTTGGCCCACATTTGCACTGTGGGCCCAAATCAGTGCATGAACCTTCTGTGAAACCTACCTATGCCTTTTGTTGATGCATCATATGGATTAGTTGTCAACAAGGCTATGGCATATATTGCACAGGAAATACTGCAGTGTTAACTGTGAGCTTGTTTGTACCAGTGGTTGAAGACAGCAACAATGCTGCATATTTGTAAAATGTATTAACAGTTAATGACATAAGAAACATGTGAAACTGAGTGCATGTGATCAATAAGTACTGAGTAGATTATAGATTTTCATAATTGTATATCAAAATTGAAGGAAAACTTGTGACATTCAGACTTTGTGTGAATTTGATAAGGATCTAATTCTGCCACTACCACTTCTGCTACTACTGCTACTTCTACTATGAGAACTTCTACAACTACTGCTATTTCTGGTGTCATGCCGCACTGAACCTCCTTCTAGCAGCCAGGTATCTACAGTGACATCCATATTGCAGGCACAGATGTCACACACATATCTTGAGTTAGTCCCTTTGTCACAGAAAGGTCACTCTCTGTATCTTGTCAGTCATTTGTCCTTTGTTCCTGTGTTGTGAAAAGACATATTTTGAGGGTCTCTCCCTGTTGCTATCTGTTACAGCATCTCCTGGTGTGTCTGTTACTTCATCTCTTAGTGTGTCTGTGTTAATGCATCTGTTGAGGTCAATTCCTGTGTCTTTTGAGAGTCCATTTGTCCTTGGAGGGTCACATGCTACATGTTGTGAGATTATTTTGTCTTTGCAATTGGTGGTGTATCTGTTACTGATTCTATAACAACATCTGTTGGTATATCTGTTACTGCATCTCTTGGTTTATCTTAGTGTGTCTGTTACTGCATCTCATAGTGTATCTATACGTGTATCTGAGTTACAACATCTGTTATTTCATCTGTTACTGTATCTGTTGTTTTATCTGTTATTACATCTCTTGGTTTATCTTAGTGTGTCTGTTACTGCATCTCATAGTGTATCTATACATGTATCTGAGTTACAACATCTGTTATTTCATCTGTTACTGTATCTATTGTTTTATCTGTTACTGCATCTCTTGGTTTGTCTTAGTGTGTCTGTTACTGCATCTCATAGTGTATCTATACATGTATCTGAGTTACAACATCTGTTATTTCATCTGTTACTGTATCTATTGTTTTATCTGTTACTGCATCTCTTGGTTTATCTGTTGGTGTATTGGAATTACATCATCTGTGTATCTCTGGTTTATTAGTTTCTACATCTCTTAGGTTGTCTGTGTTACTTCATCTCTTCGTGTATAGTTTTCTGTATCTGTTTCTATATCTGTAGGTGTATCTGTTACAGTATCTCATGGTGTATCTGTTACAGTATCTCACGGTGTATCTGTTTTATAGCATCTGTTGAGGTTGACACGGTCACAGGAAGCTGTAGACTGTGGCTGTCAGTAACGGCAACATCAGAACCATGGGAGATACTTGGATGGTCGGCGCTGCTGATAACACTGAAACACCAGAGCCATGGGATAACACTTTGATAACATGTCAGGGAGAACTGTAGATATCGTGGTTTACTACATACCTACACGATACCATCTTAATGATGGACAGCATGTGCTAGCATCATTTGTGTTGTATTCTGCTCAGACTGTGTATTTCATCAGTTACCAGCTCAATTTGCCAATTATACATATTCTCCACATGTAACATTGTCTTGGATCTTTTTCAATTCGTTGTGTTTTCTTTAAAAGACATGTCTTTTAAAAAAAGCCAGATGTCCCGCAAATGACAAAGCTACCTGACTCTATTACCAAACATACTGTTATGTTGTCCACACAGCTACCTGACTCTATTACCAAACATACTGTTATGTTGTCCACACAGCTACCTCACTCTATTACCAAACATACTGTTATGTTGTCCACACAGCTACCTGACTCTATTACCAAACATACTGTTATGTTGTCCACACAGCTACCTGACTCTATTACCAAACATACTGTTATGTTGTCGACACTACCTGACTCTATTACCAAACAAACTGTTATGTTGTCCACACAGCTACCTGACTCTATCACCAAACATACTGTTATGTTGTCCACACAGCTACCTGACTCTATTACCAAACATACTGTTATGTTGTCGACTATGTTGTCTACCAGCTACCTGACTCTATCACCAAACATACTGTTATGTTGTCCACACAGCTACCTGACTCTATTACCAAACATACTGTTATGTTGTCCACACAGCTACCTGACTCTATTACCAAACATACTGTTATGTTGTCCACACAGCTACCTGACTCTATCACCAAACATACTGTTATGTTGTCCACACAGCTACCTGACTCTATCACCAAACATACTGTTATGTTGTCCACACAGCTACCTGACTCTATCACCAAACATACTGTTATGTTGTCCACACAGCTACCTCACTCTATTACCAAACATACTGTTATGTTGTCCACACAGCTACCTGACTCTATTACCAAACATACTGTTATGTTGTCCACACAGCTACCTGACTCTATTACCAAACATACTGTTATGTTGTCCACACAGCTACCTGACTCTATTACCAAACATACTGTTATGTTGTCGCACACAGCTACTTGACTCTATTACCAAACATACTGTTATGTTGTCCACACAGCTACCTGACTCTATTACCAAACATACTGTTATGTTGTCCACACAGCTACCTGACTCTATTACCAAACATACTGTTATGTTGTCGACACAGCTACCTGACTCTATCACCAAACATACTGTTATGTTGTCCACACAGCTACCTGACTCTATTACCAAACATACTGTTATGTTGTCCACACAGCTACCTGACTCTATCACCAAACATACTGTTATGTTGTCCACACAGCTACCTGACTCTATTACCAAACAAACTGTTATGTTGTCGACACAGCTACCCCACTCTATTACCAAACATACTGTTATGTTGTCCACACAGCTACCTGACTCTATTACCAAACATCACAAAATTGAATGTATGATATTTTCAATAACAAACTTTTCATATCGATAATCATTTTTTCTATCAATATTTCTGATTATTGATTTTATAGCCAGTCCTAGTGCCAGATACTTATGATAACTTATTTAAATCCCAGATTTGACCGATTAGGTTGCTATGTTTGTCACACCAAGTCTGTATCCCTAGGTTTCACTATGTTGTAACTGTCTAAGACCTGCATCACTTGGGACTTTCCTTCGACATCAAGATGATGCACAATGATATTAATGACATGCCAGTCTGTAAAGATATTGTTAAAAGTGGTGGTACACTATCACTCTCCCAGGTGATATATTGTCAAGTCTCACCTGTGCAGTTGAAACTCTGTCCAGTGTAATACTCCTTCTGTCTGCGATATGCTTCCGTCGATTCCCCTTGACACTCCCCTACCCTTGGGTCCATACACTGCGAGAACGCCTCGAACACACTGAACAGAAAAATAAACTCAAATATTTGTCCCCGAGAATCGAGCTTCGCACATCTTGGTTGTAACTCACAAGCAAATATTGAATAAAGGACTCGTAATAATTCCACCAGCCAGACCACTAATCCAAACAATGCCTCTTCACACCAATATTGTTTTAGAACGCACTACGTCTGCACTGCAACTGCTGATGGGGCCAAAGTTCACATGAACATTACACATAGGCTATGCTACAGTTTACCGAGAAAGAAAAATGTGGATTGTTTTTTCCAATAATCTTGAGTCAACATCAGGTGGAGACCTTTTTTTCAGGTGCTGATTGACACGTTTTATGATCGTTCCTTGAGGGATTGTCTGCGGGTGACTGGAATGTAACTTGTTCAATCGTGACATTCTTGAAACTTTTGTGTCGCCTGCAACATGTCAGTAGAGTGTACACTTGGAATTGACCTTTTCCTTTTACTCCACACTCTCTTCACATCTCATCCTGTCTCATCCGATTCCACACACACCAACCCTCCCGTCTCTAAAAGTATGGGGCAGTGGGGTTAACCAAATGGTTAAAGCATCTGCTCGTCTCGCTGAAGACCCGGGTTCGATTCCCCACATGGGTACAGTTTGCAAAGCCCATTTCTGGTGTCCCTGCCTTGATATTGCTGGAATATTGCTAAAAGCGGCGTAAAACCGTACTTACTCGCTTACTTTAAAAGTATGTTAAGTTGCATCATAACTTCAGAAGAAAATCTTCAAATTAGGAATTTTTTTACCAATGTTATTTTTACACACTGTCTACATCAACTTCATGTCAAGTAAACCAATTTTTGTCTTGCTTATGTGAAAATAAGCTTGTTCAACACATCAAAAGACTAGGCTATTTAATTCAATCTAACCTGTTCTGTGTTGCACGTTTTGAAAACTGAGAAATCGTCATGAAATAAATACTTAATCACCCCTTATTGAGGCAAGTAAAAATTCTGTCATTGTGTTCATTGTTTGGTCCCAAAGGCAGAACTCTTCATGTCTCTGTAAGCAAGATATTTTCACAAAGAATGTTCTTTTCAGGCAGAGTAATCCATTATGCTTGATGTTGTCTGAGGGAGTTGTTACCTGGTACGCTGAGAGAGACATAGGTTTTTATGATATAATAGTCTGTGATGACGTCTGAACAAAGCATGTGCATGTCTGAGTTTAGGAATGTTGAGGAAAACGTGATTTGGGCAATAAATCCACAACACACTTCAACAAATTCTAAAGCAGTATTTTAAAACATTTAAAGATATAATACAAGCCAGTCATTTGATATCTGTTTACAAACATGATTCTCCAAACAAGGCACATGTTTAGAAATGATAAAAACTGTTGAAAATTGACCCTGGGGGGATTTGGGGGAAGAATAGGTCCCCAGTATGTCCTCAAAGTTATCTAAACAAAATTGCAGAGATTTACCGGATGTCAAATCCTGCATGTTAAAGACAGATGCACAAAACAGTGAACATCCATGTTTTTATCAGTGAATACCACTACTTCATGATTTAGTATTTGTTAAAATTAATTTCTGTTTGTAAATATTTAATAAATATAATACCCTGTCAAATTTTTTTGCCGTCCTAACACAACTCCAAGTCTCTCTTTAACTAACAGCCTCTGAGTATGAACAATCTTACATGACTTGTGGAAGTGTACTGTATTCCATTTTTTTACATTTCTCTAAAACCACAGTTTTGAAGCTTGAAGCCCCATTTCTACTTTCCCCCGAAATCCCTAATATAAAATGCTTCAAGGCCCCAGCAAAACCAGCCTCCATATGCCGATCAGTGTCTTACTATGTTCGCATCCCTCTCGAGTTAGTTGAATGAATGTTAATCAGACAAAAAGACAAATTCCGATCAACAAAACGTCATAGCTCCTCAGGCAAAGGTAATTCTGCAAACACAGAATCCCCCAATATTAGATAAAGCAGTGTCTATGAGCCATCCAACTTCCACTGTTTCTATAGCATCGGTAGAGAGAAGTTAGCTTTGGTCAGTATTGACCAGTGATCACAGTGTCTAGGCCGATGTTCAAACTCTGGAATGTGTCTGACATAGCAATCAAAGACCAATCACAAGCTCATATATAGATATTTCCCTTTGGTAACTCTTGGGTCAAAGTAGTATCCAATAACAACATTTGAAGGGTTGCTATCGATATAGGCAAATAGATCATTATTTGTTGACTTAATATCGATCAGATATGGATTAATATCAGAGGATTAACTTTGAGCAGAAATTGAAAAAGAGTGAAAACATATTTCCCTTGTGATTGACGACACGTTTATGTATATATTACGTTCAACATTGTTCTCAATATAGTTTAAAAGCAGCCCACGAATATACACCTAACTTTGTGTGATGTGTGTGAACAATTTCATCAATGGTTTGTTGAGATACTAATTATAATTCTGCCCATCAACAATATTTCTGATCATCAATCTTTTTCGCTAGCACTGTTGACTAGCCACTTGTTCAAAGCCTAATGTAGTAAATGTGTTCACTAGAGAAGCATAGTTCCATGTTAGAACTGATTCCCCAGCAACCTGTACTGGTCAAGAGAGGTGACTTATGAGTGAGTGAGTTTGGTTTTACGCTGCTTTTAGCAATATTCCAGCAACATCACGGCGGGGGACACCAGAAATGCGCTTCACACAATGTACCCATGTGGGGATTCGAACCCGGGTCTTCGGCGTGACAAGCGAATGCTTTAACCACTAGGCTACCCCATGGTTATGGATCAGTTGGTCAGCTGACTCAGCTGATGGTGCAGCATCCATAACCATTGACTAGGATTGTTGCTCGGAATACTGATCACTGGATTGTCTGGCCAGACAGGACTATGTAGATTTCCCACAGGGTTTTACATGACGCGTGATTCCTTCGTATTCGACGCAACAATTTTGTAAACGACTCTCAAAATATTATCATACAAGTCAAGCTTGACGCAAGTTTTATGGGTGACCCTCACAACTCAATTCAATAAAATCGATTTGATAAGCACAAAAATGATATTGTCAGATTGTTCCAGAGAACTCAGAGGAGACAGTAATCCTGGCTGTTTGAACTGAACAATGCTGTAGTTTCACTTGGTGGTGTGACATACACAGTTACATACTGAGAATGATTAACACAAAGAAATATTAAACTTTTCATGACTCCCAAATATTGAAAATAACTCCCCAAAATAAATATTGTGAGTCACCATGACTCCCATTTTTAAAAGACTGTGTAAAACCCTGTTCCCATCATGGCTGGAATATTGCTGACTCCTGAAGTCAAACCAACTTACGAGCATATATGGGTATGGTTGCTGTCATGCCGTGTAGCGATACTGTTAAGCTCCTCCCTCTCATGTCGACATTCCTCCAAAGCGGTCAGCACGGTCTGCATCTCGCAGCTGGTCACTACTGTAAGCACCAAGGTCAACATCAGGATCAGCAGTGTGAGGTTGTGTAAACCTTACCACATCGACAACACGTATTACATGTGTACAGAATAGCGGGGGTGTATACACTGATTTATCTCCACCTGCTCACAGGCAAATATTTGGCCCTGACTCTGCAGCAAGTGTCTGTAAAAGAAATTAAGTTCATATTGTTAAAGATGTAACTTGTGTAAGTTATGTAAAGTTGATGTGTATTTCAGGACCTAGGAAAGGAAAGAAGCTCATACAATTACTTCAACGTTACTACATTAAATACAGTATTATATTTGGGGCAGTGGGGTAGCCTAGTGGTTAAAGCATTCACTCATCTCATCGAAGACCCGGGTTCGATTCCCCAAATGGGTACAATGTTTAAAGCCCATTTCTGGAGTCCCCCACCGTGATATTGCTGGAATATTGCTAAAAGCAGCGAAAAACTGAAGTCACTCACAGTCTTATATTCCATGATATGTCTGACTGGGAGAAAAAGACTCTTAATCAAATACAGAAACATTTGTTCACGATTTGCCTGCCAAAGACACTTATATAAGTCCCTGGTATTGCAGTACAACCTGCAATATTTAATTCCTGCAAGGACTTATGTTCCAAGGTTAAAGTTGTACACTTTGTCAAAGACAAATGGATTTCTCATTTATCATCCAAAACTGTGTTCCACAGGAGATATCGCTTCTGTGAGATCAAACGATATCTCCTAGGAGATATCGTTTGACAGTAGATTTTGACTGACAATGCTATGTTCCATGTACCTGATGACGTCAAGTGCTATGTATGCTCGCTGCACTGCAAGTCTAATTTGTCAATGTTCAGAGATGTACATTTGTCATTGAAAATTAATGAAGAGTGATTTTGATGATTTCTCATTTACTGGAATTGTTCCTCGGCAAGCCTCGGATATTTGTAACTTTATCAACTCGTGATGATATAATTGATGAGAAAATGATTGTTGTCTTGACGAAGCTGAAAATGATGACTGTACATTTGAACCCTGAAACCATTATTTTGGTTTTACTCATTGTCTTTTCAGCATTTTAATGACAAAAAACATCTGTTAACGTTTTAGGATTTTGTGAGTCAGTCATCAGTGTTCAAAGTACAAAATGTACAAAATGGCCACCTTTTAATTAGTGGAACTGGGCAGGGGCAATCTTTTGTTGCAAGGGTGAATCACTGGGACACACAATCAGTCACGTCATTCATTTTGTCCACCAGATCCCCATTCATAAACTTTCAGGGCAGTGGGGTAGCCTAATGGTTAATGGTTAAAGCGTTCTCTCGTCACGCCGAAGACCTTGGTTCGATTCCCCACATGGGGACAATGTATGAATCCCATTTCTGGTGTCCCCCGCCACGATATTGCTGGAACATTGCTAAAAGCGGCATAAAACCATACCCACTCACTCACTCATTAACTTTAATGACAAACATCGCTATAAAGTTCAACCTCCTTCTGAATGCACCCCCTGATCAACATCTACACCATTAAGTAATATTAATAATACCCCACAACTAAGATAAAACAATTTGACATGACAGTTCATATTTTCTTGCGTATAAAACACATTTCATACAGGTGTGAAGAAGGTGGTGCCTATTATTCACGCAGACTAAGCAGTCTGACTTGCAATAGCAAGAACATTGCTGCTAAATCCATGTCAATGGAAATGTTGCGAAACATTTTAGTTTCATTGACGTTCTGGGTTTGTTCTCTCCCATCATCAAATTGATTGGTTTATATAAGCACCCATTTTTTTGTTTTCTGAGTGCACCAGGTACCATACAGTGAATACATAATATTATCTTGCTGTGTCATGATATACCTCAATATTGCTGATTCAGCATCTGGGCAATATTTACGCAGTCTCAAATCTTGCTTTGAACTGAGACCTGGAAAGTAGTGGATTACATCTCATTTTTTTTAGCAATAGCCATAAAATTACATAAATACCCAAGTCACCCAAATATCACCATTTTCAAAATAGTTATGAACTTGGCAGTGTCTGTGGGAAGTTTCTGATAACAGGATAGGATAAAATGTTTACAGAATGTGTCAGAAAATATCATGAATCTCGTACAAAACCTTCATGCTTCCACAAAACCAGGATAATATTTGTCCAACAAAACCAGAATGTCTCATGCTTCCACTTGGGTTTAAAAACCAGGATAATATTTGTCCAAGCTTATCAATTCTCTCTCCAGAATGTCTCATCCTGTCCTAATGATCGCTTTCTCGAGGTTTAAATTTTTCAGGGAGAATGAATGAAAATATTCATTCTTGCATCAGTTTGACTTACTAGGAACTCAGCTGAACTCAATCTTAACACAAAATGGCAATTGTACTTGGTATTCCTCCCAAAACAGAACAACCCATAGACTGAAATAGGTGATATGAACAAACTCAGCTTCCATGCCATATGGGATTTTTCTTAAAGAATTAAAAACAATTTCAAAAGCATGATCCGTTAACATGAAAGCAAGTCTATTTTTTCATCAATCAGCTGTTCAGTTGCTGAATATATTCTCATGGTTGTCTAATGATTTGATTTCACAAGATTTGGTTCTGGTGCTAAATGTCCAGGTTTCTTAACCACACAAACTTCAAAATCAGATTGGTTTTATTGAAGTTACTTAATCATGCATTGGGTCCTATATTTTCTATATATCAAAATATATTACATCTTGCTCAAAATGCCTATTTTGTGTCACAATTTATGTATTGTGTGGGTCGAAGCTAGAGTAAATAATGCTTACTATTCTAACCTGGTCATAATCAAACTGAACCTTTCTGTAAAGGAAATCCAAGTTCTATGGATAGTCAACTCCTTTATTACAAAGAGTGCGATGTACGTGTAGGTACGAACATCGTTATCAAGATAGTACCTACACCGAAACGTCACACCCATTGCAATAAAGAAATTGACTATCCATAGAACTTGGTTTTCCTTCATCTTTACAACTTCTAAAAATGTCTCTCAATGAACTTTTCTGTGTTTTACAATATAATGTCAGATGATGGCAGTGATGTTTTTGTTAGGTGTGTTACATGGCACTCACAGGATATATTTAGGTGTATCTTAGTGGTCAAAAAAGATGAAATACACAGTTCTCATCCATCTCCAAGTGAAAATATTTTTTGCCAGTGATGATTAGTGATTGATAAGATTTAAGCCTTGCACACCAGGAATTGAAGAAAAGTGAAGTCTTTAGTTGTTGACATTTTCCAATAATTGATCATGACACATTCTTCAGGTTGTCCATTTATTAAAGGTGACAGACCCTGCATATTTTACTGACTTGTCACATGGAAACCATTTGCTGAACTGACACAGGTAGTTTTGGGGACTCTGTGACATTATACAGCATCCACAACACTGTCCGCCCATTGGTCAGGTGGCCCATCAGTCATTGTTATATCATTGCACCAATAATCCTATGACTGTTACCGATATTCAAATGTTTTGTCAAACAGTTGGTAGCAGAAAATACAGAAAGAGCTTTGATTGTACTATTCTTGGGTTCCTTCAAAGTGAGGCTTAGAATTGATAAATCAATTTTTACTAACATTTACCAGTTGTATTTTAATGCATTACACCGGACACCTTCAACCATATTCTATTATTCCCAGCCTTGGTCAATTTGTTTTATTGATTAGGATTATTTTTAGGGGTTTAGAGTTTTGGTTTAGGATTACGGTCAGCCCCTTAATGCAATAAGGTAGGTATGCGTCCGGTGTAATATAAGTTTGGTTGTTTTTAGATTGATAATACCAGTACCCCTTTCAATTTCTGTACTACACTCATTCACAAGTTTAGTTTCCATGTTTTTCCAATCTTCTTTCCTTCACGTTTTTTCAAAATACTCGTGCTGTTTATATTAATGTTTGTGTGTTCAAAGAATATGAATTTTTCTAATGAGATTCTGGAACCAGGAAGTGTTGCTGTCAGGATTTAACTGTGCCACTAGCTTCCTCATACAAAGAGTTTAGAACCCAGAAGGCACTTTTTATCACACAATTAGGAATATGACTAATTATGTGACAGAAAAATCAATTCATTCTCACCTCTCGACTGCTAGTTAAAGACTAAGTGCAATTTCCGGCACAGATTTGACTGTTTAGTTTCGACACAATGCTAATATTGTACTCGATTATGTAGATGGTGCAGTTTGTTACATCACATGTTTACAAACACTCTGTTTGTATGTGGACGTATTGCAGGGACAATATTGAGATGCCAAATAATAAACGAGGGTGCCAATTAAATGTTGTTTGTTGTAGTAGTTTGTTTGTTGTAGTTTGGGCATTAGAAATTCCGTACAATTCAAATGCTTTCTTCAGGAGTGTATTGGAAAAGATTATAAGTTGTATTCTTACTTGTTTAATCAGTGGTCGTTAAAAATGATTTTCAATAGCAGTGTTTTGTTCAGTAAATACTAATATGTTTACATGATTTGTTAGGATTTTAGAGAATGCTGAGTGTGCGCATTTGCCTGTTTGCAGGCTGAACAGCCTGCTGCTATTTTGAATTCAGTATCTGACCCCTGGGATTTACTGGATGCAAAATATCCCCCAAACTATCAGTGATAGTGAAAATAGATGGACAGTGGTACATCCTTGTACTGACCCAAACCCTTTTCTTGAAGCGTCTTCAGATTAGGAAAGAGTGAGTAAGTGAGTGAGTTTGGTTTAATACTCCTTTTAGCAATATTCCAGCAATATCACTGCGGGGGACACCAGAAATAGACTTCAGACATTGTACCCGTGTGGGGAATTGAACCCGGGCCTTCGACGTGAAGAGCAAATGCTATAACCACTGGGCTACCCCACCGACCCTAATAGGAAAGAACAAATCTTCTGTCTGCTATTGAGAAAATCTGACATGTGATATGTTTTAGATAATCATGTTCATTTGTTGTCTTTGTCCTTGATATTTTTAATGTCATTTCAGAACCACAGATATTGGGGATTTGACATAGACCCTTTGACTTCATACTCATTGACACTGTATGGAGTACATGATGCCTGAGCCTTCATTCTCCAACATTACAGCTGGAATTTAATCCTGTCCTTGGTGACATAGTCTGTCCCACAGTCCCTGAAACACATTATTTTCCCTACTGCCTAGCCATCCCTGCAATGCTAAATGCCTAATGAAGCAAGTCTAGATTGTCCCAGGTTGCCTGAATCTCCAAACTTACTGGGGCTCCTTTTCAATTTAAATGGGTTTATTTATTACTATCAAATATATATTTTCAATGGGAATATATATTTTCAGGGACTAAGCGTTAGTCTATTGATGACACTGTGTTTGTTCAGAGGACTTGTTAAGGCATGGACTGTACCAATACATCTCACTCTTTCATTGACAGGTCTAACACATGTATTTCTAGGACTCATTTTAAGGTTTTTTGCTTGTTTTAAATTTAAAATGAATGAAAATGAGTTTTTTAATATGTACAAATATTCAATTGTCCGATAAAGAAAAATAAAGTTCAGTTGTGTGATCCATATTAATTAGATGGATTAACCCATTTTGGTCAATTGCATGTTGCCTTATTTAACTTTTTAAGGTCGATGGTTATGTCTGTAAACCCATTAGGATTCTAGGATAGAGTAGGTCCCAACCACTTGGGCTGGTTGGTCATTAGCTTTGACTGATCCAATGAGGAGGTCTGGCTTCGGGACTTGGTTGGCTGCGTGACATCATACCCTGATGAGTGATGTGTAACTCATAATATCAATCACTGGCTCGTCTAATCCACACTTCAATACTGACATGGTGTCATATAGCTGTAATACTGCCAACTGTAACATTAATTACTATATCTGAAATCTGGAATAATTTGAAGTTAGACTTTGAAGTCTAGTTAGATGAAACATAATATTGACACTGATGTATGTCCTGTTCGGTGTTCAAGCAGGTTTCATTCTCACTTCACCAGTATCGACCACTTATGGTCATTCCTATGGGTCATTGAACCGATTGAGGTCACGTCTAGAACTGTTCATCTAAAAATGTCACAGAATTACCTTGGATGGAAAACGTCCAACTTTAATATCGACAAATTTAGATACTTGTGTTGTAAGTCTTCTATACATCTATTCTTTTAAAAATCCAGACTCCATTTCTCTTAGCACCTGTTGATAATTATGCTAATTACTTACCTTGAATAAGACAACTGAGAGCAAGGACAACACAGATGTGGCTCATCTCATCCCTGTAATCCATCTCTGACAACCACACTCCCAACGGGAAAAGTTTGAAACCAATTTGCACCTCGTAAATCCTCTCGCAAGGAATCCCCTTGAACCTGAAATTGGCCGCTCTCCGACCACGTCTTATGAGCCGAGAGTTTAAGCTGGGTTTGCCGCTGGACCACAGTCTTGATAGTGTGTGTGTGGAGTTTAGCATACAGCTGACACATGGGAATTATTTGTCAAACGCTCAACGGCAAACAACCCTGTTTATCAGCTGTTCATGGAAAACAGGAAATCTAGATACCTGGTTGCACGAATTGCATCATATTTTTTTATTTAAATTATTTATTATTTGTTAAGGGAATTATTATTCTGTTTTTAAAGAAACATTACAATTGAGATGTCTAAGTTTTATTTGAAGTGTAATAATCAGTCCTGGATCATTTTAAGTTCTTTATTTGTCTTGAAGGTGTTCTTCATTTTGGCAGCTGAGTAACATCTGCCTGTTTAAACCACAGAGATTTGTCAGAAACAATACTCCTAATCAGGTCATGGTTTGCGCATGTACATATATCATTTACAAGGGTTTCACTGTGGTGAAACCCTGTGGTGATGAAACCCTGTAGTAGTTCCAGCTTGAAATAGGGTTGTAGCTCTCCATTGTAAGAGGGACTTCATGGATCAGGTGGTCAGACTTGGTGCCTGGGTTGACAGAATGTCTTTGTAGCCAGAAGCTGTGGATCATGGTTCAGATCATATACCGATATGTCTCTGGTTCAGATTACCCATCGGTGTGTACAAGACTTGATTATCTATATAGTCTGTTGACATATTGCTGAAATATTGCTTAATGTGGCATTAAACAAACTGCAAAACAGTAATGGAAGAGCTGTGTATTGTTTGTCTTACAATGAAATCTACTTGTTACATCACCATGAGAGAGATGATGAATTCAGGAAAAACATGGTCAATATCCACACCTAGCTTACAAAGTGTCACACTTGCATGCCAAGTACCAAGTTGTGTCACTCCCTGTCGTTCTTGGTGTCTTATGGGGCGGTGGGGTAGCCTAGTGGTTAAAGCGTTCGCTAGTCACGCCGAAGACCCTTGTTCGATTCTTCACATGGGTACAATGTGTGAAGCCCATTTCTGGTGTTCCCCACCGTGATGTTGCTGGAATATTGCTAAAAGCGGCATAAAACCAAAACTCAGTCAGTCAGTCTTCACGTACAATGTGTGAAGCCCATTTCTGGTGTTCCCAGGGCTCCAGATAAGGGTCGTATCGGCGTATGTACGGATAAAAAATATGCAAGATATGGTAGGAAATAGTTTAGAAAGCATAGCAGATACGCACCACAGCAATGGTGTACGGTCATTTACAGACGTATTTATCTGAAAAAGTATTGTTTTATTGTTCATTGACCTGTTTACACAAGAGTAGCAATGTTGTGGTGTGATTACTGATACGCCATTAATTTCCATTCAGTACTCTAAATGTACTCTTTAAGTTTTCCAATACTCCTATATTGAATAAATAAGGAGTACGTACTCCTGATCATGAAAAATTATCTGGAGCCCTGTGTTCCCCAACATAATATTGCTGGAATATTGCTAAAAGCGGCAAAAGCGGCGTAAAACCATGCTAACTCACTTGGTGCCTTATTTTTGGTGCCTCCCAATCTCATAACGGACAATGGGAGAGTACACGGGTCAGTAACACAACCCTTCTGACACTCATGATAGTGGAGAAGACTGCAGTGTTGGGGAGTCTCCATGTTCTTGTTGGGTTTGACTTGGCAGAGCCCCTTTGGGAAACGTCCTATTTGCTGTATGGGCTGCGTGTAAATGACGCAAGGGCCCTGTGTGGTGATTTTGAGCCTGACCCGCCTCACTTGTCCAGGATCACCCAAACCCTCTTTGCTGCAGATACAAGTTTTGTTTAATTTCATCTGTAATCAGTAATGATATAATGAGATAATTGATCTTTATACATTTTAGTCAGTTTTGCCATACTACAGTTTCTAATGAACAGATTTGTGACAGATTTGACACTTCCCTTACAGAACACGACACCTCTATAAATGACACCACTACATCAGGCCTAAAATAGATTTATAGAACTATAAAATAATAACTCTTTTGTTACACATTTCAGTAACAACATCCAGAATCTGTTCCAGATAAAACATAAATGTTCCCCACAATCCGTAGAACAATAGCCTGTGTTATTAATTTTGTCTCTTTAACAATATGCATGATTACATTGTCCTAATCTTGTCAATATGCATGTCTTCACAGAGTGATGACAGGTGTGACACCTTGTCTATCAAAGGGAAACTGCAGCTGATATTGACATCCCTTGTACATTTCAATTCCATCGGCATTACTATTGAAATTAATCACCTTCCCTGAAGTTTGTCACTGACTGTCGATATTTGGCTTCCATAAAAAACATTAGAAACCTGCTTTGTCATCAAGATGGTGTCTTTCAGTTGGTCCTAATTGTGTACATGATCTCTGTTATCCTGCGAACAGTGTTTATTAGCAAGGAGTGTTTTCACGATGTTTGTTTGTTCAAACTGCATGGAGAAACAGTCACTAACATTGTTCAGGTTATCAAATAAATCACAGAGCGAGAAAACAGTGACATTTCAACAGATTAAGAAAATATTTCACACACCTTAGTTGCATAAGAAAGGATGTTGTCTGTTAATGTTTTGTTAGAATTTCCCGAATATCAACATGCTAATTAATCACAGTTGGGTAAAATGTTTTATCCATGTTTGATCCTATTGATCAGACAGTTTTGTGTTTGCCATATTCTGATCTTTTCACCCCTAAGTATCATATTTGTTTGAATTTGTGTGAAACGCATACATTTAATATGGAATGTATTATTTGTTTTCATTGATCACATGTCAGTTATGTCAGAAAATAATTGATAGTATTTGTGAAGGACATGTTGGAGTCTTGGATTTGTGTAAAGCTTCGTGATTAAATGGACCACCTCCATGGTCTGGTGCAGGGGTTCAAAAATCCCATCGCCCGATGCCCGGGACAAGTCAGTTTTCATTTCGGGCAATCAAATAATGGTATTTTACTTGTCCGTGGGCTACTAGATAATTTGTACTTATGGTTTCAAACTGCAAATAAACTTGGATTTAATTTCATATCTGCTCAAAATGTAGCTTTTAAATTTTGCAATGATGATAAAGTAGAGTTATCTTTCTTTGCTATTTATCACTTTTCAATAAATAGTCGAGTAAACATTAACATCAAATACCATGTTGATTTCTTCTTTCATAATTACATCATCATGATTATGTCATAAAATCAGGGCAAGTGGAAAATTAGTCAGGACAAGTTACTTTCTTAAAGCTTTTAAAAAAAATTTGAACCCCTGTGGTGAACAGAACATCTTCTTAGAGACCTAGGCCTAGATATTCGAAGCTCTCTTAGCGCTAAGATAGTCGTACGTGCTATACATTAACATTACCTTACGACTATGTTAGCGCTAAGAGAGCTTCGAAAATCTAGGCCCTAGAGAGGTCAAGGTTGGTGGTTCGATCACGTCCGTGTCATATTAAAGATGCCTGGCACTCAGCATGAAAGGGGTAAGACTGGTTGGCTCAGAGTCAGTATACTGTGTGTCAGTGAAGTATCCATGTTAAACACTGGAGCATGGTGTCTCAAGGGGGTGGCGCTATAAAGCCTGCACTCAGTCAGGGCAAGATCCAGCAGCAACACTCGTGTATGCATGTCACTACATAGTGCAGTAATCTCTGAAAGCGTCTTCAGCCCAATTTCACTTCATCTGACCACATAATAACATGTTGTTAGCACAGTTCTTGAACCATATTGTCAAAAGTTCAGCATATCCTAGAATAGGGCAGTACAATTTTACCAACATACAGCTATACTTCAATACCCTTTGCTAATGATACATATTGCAATATTTTCTGAGTGTAGAAAGCATAAAACATTTTCGTCCTTTCTTGAGAATCATTTTCACTATGTCAGTGTATGTTATCTTTTAAGATTGATGACTTGTTTTTATTCTCAGAAAATACTTGAGAGTAATGATCACTACATCAGCGCAAGCTATTGTCTCAAGAGATTGCAGGGGTTCTTTTTCACTCCCCCAAAACGGCCCTGACCAATTGGTCTCTATATCAATGTAAGATATTGTCTCAGGAGGACCTTCCATTATATCTATGCAAACAAATTTGTCTCCAGAGAATACCTCCAATGTCCAAGTAATCTTGTCCCCACGAAGTCAAATCTCCAGTTAATTTACTGACAAACACAACATATGGATAGGTCTTAGTGGCCACTGTGTTTCATTATTCTGTTAAATCGGCAGATCTTTCTGTCCATGAGACCCATAAACCTAGCCCAGGAAGTATGTTGTGAATGTGTCAGTGTTTCGGGGAGCCATCTGCGTATAAATACTGCTGTGAGACATGAGGTAACACCATTGAGAGATCTTCTCACAAATTACCTGGAGTTTTCACATAAGGTTGAGGAATTTAGGCCTCAACAGTTGTTTACATGTGGACTTTAACTCAGTAGATAGTTAATTTGCTGGACAATTGTTCAGTGGTCCATATAAAAAATATCTTATGATTTGGGAGTCAATGTGACACATTTTGAAAATATGTCATGAACAGATGAATGGTTTGAGGTTTTGTCAAAATTGTTAACATCTTGTTGCCTAAAGTCAGGTAAAGGTTCTTTGGAGGCATTTAGAAGTTGGTATTCATGTAAAATGCAAATATTATTAGAAGTTATCTTATGTATAGACCCAAGAGCATTTATGTAATAAAACATCCAGTAAAGATGCAAGGAACCCTGAAAAGAATTAACCATATACATAACTCTAATCTCAATAAATGACCTATAGTCTGTCTCACAGTCCCCTGAACTACATTATTTTCCCTGCTGACAAGCCCCTATCTAGTGCTAAAGCCCTAAATAGAGCAAGTCTAGATTTCCTCAGGTTCAGAATCTCTGGTCTCCCTGGGCTCCTTTTCAATATAAATGGGCTTGGTATTCATGTGACCAAAATGCAGGTGAAGAATATTATTTATTATTAGTACAGTAAACTGTGTTTATACCAAACTGAAGTTGGATACTTTTTTTAACAAGCCACGGATATAACAAACTAGTGATATTACGGATATAGCATAACAAACTACTGATGTGCTATTGCAGTCAAGCTGTGGATATAACATAAACTACTGATGTAACAAGCGTACAGAGCATTGGCTATGGTAATATTTCATCTATAAAATTGATGTTAGCTCATCATGTGCTTTCATGTGAGTTTGTGTTTGTATTCATGTCAGTCCATCAGGACTTGGGGAATCACATGGTAACAATCACTGGAATATCTTGTCCAGACTCAATTAAATACAGACTCTCAGCAAGTTGCTGCAATATCCCCGAGATTGGCTTCAAACAACAATCAAACACCTATGGAGCTCCCATGAAAAAGGAAAAACCTTTTATGGACAATACAAATTAGTTCCTCAATTAAGATCTAAGTCAGACTTTCAGACAAAGCATATTGAATACCCGAGGTAAAATTCAAAATTTGTAAAGAATGTTTGGGTTTTGTTAGCACAGCTAGGAAGAGTGTTGGGAGATTTCATTTCGCTGTTGACCTACTGCATGTCTGCTACACTCAAATGTCACGCTAAAGGTCTGTCCATCTTGGAAATATGCAGAATAGTTGTGGCATGGAAGACATGCTCATTTGTGATATCAGTATTTGTCTGCTTTGAAGTCTGCAGGAGTGTAAGCATTGCCATTTGTACTGGTTAAACACCTGTGTTTTATGTGTGGTTTATGCTCTCACTTCGTCTGTCCTGGTGTAGGGACACAGATTCTTAGTGCTTTCCTTTGTCGTAATAATCGATAGCCTAGTTGTTAAAGCGTTCACTCATCCGACCTAAGTCCAGGGTTCGATTCCTCACATTGGTACAATATGTGAAGCCCATTTCTGATGTCCCCTGCCATGATATTGCTGGAATATTGACAAAAGCGGTGTAAAACTATACTCACTCACTCACTCACTCACTCACTCACTCACTCCTCACTCACTCACTCACTCACTCACACCAACACACTCACTCACTCATTATGAAAGAAAGAAATGTTGATTTCAAGATGATAATGTCAACACACATACCGGCAATTGTCACACCAGGAGATATCAATTTTTTGTCTTCTTATGATAAAAGCTGACATTTTTTTATGTTCAGTGTTAAATATAACTCACCATGTCTTGCTATAAATTGTGTTTGATTACAAATTGCCATCTTCATAATGAATAAATATGAATCTGTTTCTTTAGCTATACAATTCGGTCAGGTGTTACATAACACTGACTTGAGTCATTCCACAGCTGTCCCAGAATGTCGTCTCTAAAGTCCAGCTGCACTTGATGTTATGTACTCTAGACACTGCATTCTGTGCAGCCGGGAGAGTTGAATGGTGTCTACTGGTGTGGTGCTGTGGTTTTTACTAAACCAAACAGTTTTTTTTTTTATATCAACATTCTGTTTAGCACTATCTAACAAATCTTGACTATAGAATGTACCCAACATTGTTTGAAATTGAAATAGGTCTGCTTGTCTGAGTCTAATATAATATGCATGACAGCGAAATCGAATTCATTTCTTAACATTCTCAATACACAATGTAATTCAACAAAAACAATGTGTTTGACTGGGTACATTGTCAATTTAATCACAAGTACATCAAGAAGTGATGGCAATCACCAGTCGATATATGAATGACATACTGTTACAAGCAGCATTTAACGTAACCCTCCCAGCCATTATTGGTGATTAACATAAACAAGGGCACCTGTCAACCAGTGGATCTAGGTGATAAAATGTCTTGATTGTGGGTTCAAATCCCACTTTACCCTGATGTTTTTTTCTAGGTTTGTCAGCACCATGCTCATGTTCTATGGTTTCTCTAAATCCCCCGTATATAATGCGATGAGATATAGTCAGCACCTTGTCCATCTATCTGCCTGTCCATCTTCAGCTGTTGGTTAATACATGTACTAGGAGTGAATGAAAAATCTTTCATCGTTTTCAAGTTGTGCTCCAGAAACCAAGTAAAAACTGTTTCCATGGAAATCAAGAAAAATAAAAATAGCAAAAAAACGCAAGTAGCAAAAGGCACAACTTCAGCATCTCGCTGATATATCTGCCAAGTTTTATTAAAAAATATAGGACGTTTTTTGAGTGCTCTGGCAAAGAAATGATTACAGATGGACGGAAGGACAGACGAGGCATTGACTATACCCGCCTGCATTCTATATCGGGAGGATAATAACTGGTAAGGTTACACACTCCTTTGAACAGTAAACTCTTGCATTCAGTGCTGTAGACTTGTGTTCACAACTGTCAACTGTTGTGTTTCAGAATGAGCTTTTCCTGCTGGTGACGGACCAGGGCTTTCTCACCGAGAGCAACGTGGTCTGGGAGACACTCTCCAACGTGGAAGGGGACTGCCACTTCGTTGATGCCAACTTCCGCACATACACCAAACCAGAGCCCGTTGGCAACATCGCCGCGGGCAGTGTACCTGTTGGCAGTGATCAGCAGATTGACCAAGAGTAAGCTGTGTTTCCTGTTTCTATAGTAACATGCAGGGATTTCCAAACACTGCGCAGCCAGACAGATGATGTATTATCGTTGCTTCCTTTCTGATGTAAAGTTGATGTCATCACTGAAGTCTAGTGGTCCATTAATACAATTTCCTCAGGCTCGCTGACTTGGTTGACACATGTCATCATATCCCAGTTGTGTAGATTGTTGCTCATGTAGTTGGTAGGGATGAAACGGTACGCTCTTACCATGGTACGGTACATATTGCGGCACAAGGCCTTCGGTTCGGTCCATTTCGGGTCGATATATGAGATATGATCATAATGCAGAAATAAAAGAGCTGCATAGATTTTGACAAAATGATTCTATTTCTAGACATTTTAGAAAAGGTTTAAAAAGGAGAATAAATAGACGGTACGAAAACCAAAAATACCAAATTTTTGGATTGCATTACGGTATACCGAACCAAAGGCAAAATACAAGGTTCTACTAATACCACAGTATACCGTTTCACCCCTAGCAGTTGATCACTGGATTGTTTGGTCTCAACCATACAGCTAGAATAGTGCTGAGGGCGGCGGTAATCAGCAAACAAACAACAACAATACAGCTTCCACTGCTAATTTAACTTTCAGGCTATGTGGTCTTTTTGAGTGGATAATAAGAATGGTTATACTCTGCTGTTGGTGCTAATTATTAACTGAGGTGGTTATACTCTGCTGTTGGTGCTAATTATTAACTGAGATGGTTGTACTCTGCTGTTGGTGCTAATTATTAACTGAGATGGTTATACTCTGCTGTTGGTGCTAATTATTAACTGAGATGGTTGTACTCTGCTGTTGGTGCTAATTATTAACTGAGATGGTTATACTCTGCTGTTGGTGCTAATTATTAACTGAGATGGTTATACTCTGCTGTTGGTGCTAATTATTAACTGAGATGGTTATACTCTGCTGTTGGTGCTAATTATTAACTGAGATGGTTATACTCTGCTGTTGGTGCTAATTATTAACTGAGATGGTTATACTCTGCTGTTGGTGCTAATTATTAACTGAGATGGTTGTACTCTGCTGTTGGTGCTAATTATTAACTGAGATGGTTTATACTCTGCTGTTGGTGCTAATTATTAACTCAGATGGTTGTACTCTGCTGTTGGTGCTAATTATTAACTGAGATGGTTGTACTCTGCTGTTGGTGCTAATTATTAACTCAGATGGTTGTACTCTGCTGTTGGTGCTAATTATTAACTGAGATGGTTATACTCTGCTGTTGGTGCTAATTATTAACTGAGATGGTTATACTCTGCTGTTGGTGCTAATTATTAACTCAGATGGTTGTACTCTGCTGTTGGTGCTAATTATTAACTCAGATGGTTGTACTCTGCTGTTGGTGCTAATTATTAATACTCTGCTGTTGGTATTAACTCAGATGGTTGTACTCTGCTGTTGGTGCTAATTATTAACTCAGATGGTTGTACTCTGCTGTTGGTGCTAATTATTAACTCAGATGGTTATACTCTGCTGTTGGTGCTAATTATTAACTGTTGGTGAGATGGTTATACTCTGCTGTTGGTGCTAATTATTAACTGAGATGGTTATACTCTGCTGTTGGTGCTAATTATTAACTGAGATGGTTGTACTCTGCTGTTGGTGCTAATTATTAACTGAGATGGTTGTACTCTGCTGTTGGTGCTAATTATTAACTCAGATGGTTGTACTCTGCTGTTGGTGCTAATTATTAACTCAGATGGTTTCTGATGTTTGTATCATCTGAAATTTTGAGAGTTCTAATTTTATTTTTAGTAATACTTTGACCACAGGCAAAGATTTGGAGAAAACAAATCCTTAAAGCATCTAGTGAAAATCTGAACTTGCAGTAAGATTTCATTTGGTGTAGTAAGTTCACTGAATAATGTCCAGATTTTTACACTGAAACCTACTGAATTGTCTTGAGAGAGCGGACAAAAGACTTTAGATTAGACTGAGAAAGGCGTAAGGACATGAATAATATGTGTCTCATTGTTTCCAGCTACCAGGTGGCCCTGTCCCTGCAACAAGAGGCCGAGTTACGGGAGGAGCCCGAGCCGGTCTGGGGGCAGTACGTCCAGGAGAGCAGTGCCCTACAGATGGCAGAGTATGTTAGATTATCAGGCACTGTTCATCAGATTCGTACATAGTTGATCCCATAGAGTGACATGAATTTCGGTAGTCATAGCCATCAATGTTTAAGGTGTTGAGTTGCCCGATGTATGGATATAAATATTGGATGGCGTTGTGTCACCTTGTACAGGGTATAGATAGTTCAAGGCATGAATCTGGGTCCTTGACTAGCACCATGAGGCATGTTTCACCTGATTGCCGTGAACTTTATTGATGCCTGATTATTACATATGCTCAGGGCTTTAAGCCAGTGCTAATAGCAGGGATGAGAATTTTCCGTTGATCCGCGGGTGATCATGCTGGGGTCATTCTTGTGAATCATCCGCCTTAGATCTGGCATGGGGATCTGTGACCCCCAAGACCCCAGCTCATTTTCTTCGTTTTTCACTCATACCCATTCTCATCCCTGGAATGGGGGTTGTAATGGACTCCACTGGCAAACTGAAGTTTGAGTGTATTTCATTCGAGAATGTCAGTTATATGACATTTTATGTAATGATTCAAAGAGTCATATATTTCTGTTTCAACAGAACTGCCAGTGTTGCATTTTTACATCCATTCACAATTTGTAGTATATAGGGGGAGTTATTTTTCATGTCAGTGCTTTCACATAGGCCAGCACCAGTCAAAATGTTACGACTGATTTGTGAAAATTAAGATAGGATTTGGGTGACATGATAAAGGTACAAAATTGGTGAAAATGCCACTAAACACTGTTCGTATGCATGTTACAATTAATTTGTTCCAGTCATGAACTTGCTCGCCGTCTTCAAGAAGAAGAAGATAGACGCGCTGCAGCTGCAGTCAATGCAAGTCAGCAAAGAGCAGCGCAGCAACAACAACAAGGTCAAGCTCAAGCTCAAGCTCAAGGAGGTCAAGGCCATCCTCAAGTCGCAGCAGCAGCAGCAGCACATTCCTCCAATAGCCGTCAAGGTCGAGACAGACCTCGAGAAGAGAAAAAGGAGAAAGATGTGAGTTATGGCGGATGTTTTAATCTATTTAACACCAGCACGAGAACTGTTGAAACTCTCTAGACTTCCACTTGTTGTAACATTTACTGTAACATAAACTGTCAGTGAAAATCTCAACTTCTTCATCAGTGTAAGATAAGAGATTTTATGAATTCAATCATTTACCAAGTAATTCCTCATTGTGTAATTTTTGCCATTAAGAATGTGAAATATGAATATTTGCAGTATGGTTTGAGTGAAATATTACTGCTTCTTCTCATTTTCATTTTCAGTGTACAATATTGTGACACAACTGGCCTGGTTGTGAAGAGAGAGCGACTGTGATAATCTCTACCATTCGAATCACTGCCGCAATCTCAACAAATGTAAACAGCTTTGCTGAGGACTTTTATAAAGGGAGATAACTGTAAAACATGTTTGTATACAGGGAGATAACTCTAAATGGTTCCTGCTCTCACATAGTAGTGGGACATATTCTATCATAAGATGTTATGTATTTTGATGAAAAATACTTGTCTACAATACCATTGATGGTTAGCCCATTAGCTCATGAATTACACCAAGGTGAAAAATATTCATAAATAAACAATTTACAGTATTTTAACAGAACAAATTTCCATTTGTGGTGTTTTCACATTGTAAGTGAAAAACACCATCTTGTCAGATCATTTGGCATCATTTAACCCATGATTACTGTTAAGGTTAGTGTTTTCCTGATGGCCATTCTGGGGTCCCTGCATTATTTACTGGTGCACACAGGCGACCTAACAAAACCTGTGTTGAGCCTCTATGACATGACCAAGTGGTGCACTTTAAACAACAGAGAGAGTGACTGTGGCATAGGTAGCAACCGCAGCTATGTCTACCACTGTTCTGCTGTCCATCACTAAATGACCATGTGGGCTGGACAATCTCTACCGTTGTCTTGGTTACCTGAGGTGGCCGTTTAGAATCCCTGGACCATGTTTGCAGGAATCAATGTTGTGATTATATTGAGACTGACATTATGACACAAATGTTGTTGATTTTATACTTAGGTTGTTGATTGTTTGAAGTGCCAGTGTTTGAAGATTTCAAACAATATTTTTCTGTTATGTTACTGTATAAAGAAAGAGCAAACAGTGGTTATGAAATACCATAAAGTCAGTTCGATAAGCTTAGAGCATCTATTTTACTTTGGTTAGAGTTATGGAGGATTAGAAAAGTTGGTTAAACTCTGGACATTCAAGGAGGAATCAAGTATGGTAGCCTTATGGTCCCTGAAAACAGGTTCTGGCAAGATTGAATGAATCTCTAAGGACAAATTGTTTGTTCTTCCGGAATACTGTCTTGTAATTTTAGCCAAGAGCTGAAAGGGGGATGAATATGGGATGCTGGAACTATAAAGGGGGAAATGAGTATAGAATCTGGGTGATTGTTTTATTAAATATTTGCTCTGGTTTCTGTGACAAGTGAGGGTTTGGATTGGTACACCATAAAAGACACCAAGATGCCAATTTTGCAAACACTGTATTGGCTTAAAATGTTTTTCTTTCTTTTTTTAATATTAATTTAAATATTTTTTGTCTCTATTTAAGTATAATCAGTTGTTATGACAATGTTTTCAGCCTTCCCCTGCATGCCTTTTTCTTTCAAAATATTGTGTAAAACTTGTAACAGAGAAATATTTGTTTGACATGTTTTGTGCTCAATAAGAAAGCAAATCTCTAACCCACTGACAGCTGAGAGGTACAATTTCAATCATATCCATGCTGTTAGTACCATTCACAAGGATATGGATGTACTGTCTGTCCTGGTTATAATGCCACCATTCGTCTGGGAAGATTGATGGCATTATAACCAGGGTGGCGTTATAACGAGGGAAGACAAATCTGTTGGTCATAACCATCTCCGACTTCAATATCTTATATACATGTGAGATAACTATTAAAGGAAACATACATTCTTTACATGACGTCAAGCATTTAACTGGACCTTCTCAGAGGAATGATTTTGGTAACAAGAATGCAGTAAATGTCAAATGTCTGTGTATGTTCACAAATGAGATTTGAACACTTCCAAAATATACGTAATCTTATGAGACTTCTGTGCAGTTAGAGCACATGCTTAGATAAAAGTCATAGTTCCTACTCAGACTAGGATATGTGTGATATCTAGTCACAAGACACCAGTGTAAGTCCCATTGATCAAATAAGGCTTTGCAGTGGTTCACTATCTGCAAAAAAATGAAAAGATAATTAAATGTCTAACTTAACTAGTTCATATTTGTTTCAGAAGGTTTAAGATTTTTTATCCGTAAATCAAAGAATAAGTAAACAAAACAAGTAACTGTTTTAAAAGTACCTCTTACTGTAGAAACCAATATGAAGGAAGGAATTAATATTATAATCTATTGTTCTAATGCCTGTGTAAGGGTGTATTGATATTCTTTGTGGTCAGGGAACTTGCAAGGATTTCAGGGTATGTTCCAATGTCAGGCAAATTTGGGAAAACAATATTTGGTCCAGTTATTGTGATTTCATTTTTGTTTAATTCTCACTTTCCTAAAATCCATGAGGTTTATATTTTGAATCAAATGATCTAAAACTTAACATTATTGATTTTATCTCTTTGATCATTTTGTCAGCAAAAGACTACTTTGCAATGCTGAAGCTAAATTAAGAAAAATCTGAGATGAGAAATAGCAAACTTTAGTATGGAAATATACTGAAAACTTGCAGATGAAAAACGTTATAATTGCAGAAAAGCTGAAATGGAAAACTTTCGGGGGATTACTAGTGAATTTTGTTGTAGACTTTGGGCCATCAACGTCCAGAAAATTCCTTGATAAATCCCAGGACATATTGACCAGAAGCTTGATGTAGATTTGCCAAGATCAGCATCAATCACAAAGCACCAGTGCCCACCTTGGACAACTCTGACCTCTACCCTCTAACCAGCGGTCAACTTCAGCATTTTTGTGCCAGGCATGTTACATGTGTTCGGGAAGAGTCAGAGGTCACAGGTCATGTCCCTGCAAACATTGTCAATTTGGCTTTACATACCTTTGTATGGTGATGACCATCGGAAAGTAGTCGGTAAATACATCATTTAGACAATAGATTCTTGTCAGGAATCAGGTTTATCGAAAAGTTTAAATGTCATTTGACAGTGATCTTTGGAATCAGGTTTAATGTCTGAAGTGATATAAGAACCGTTCACTGCCAAATTATTGCATGGAATGAATAGGTAGAGTGTTTTTTATGAATTCTAGGCCACATTTACTGGGTCCCTTGAGTCATTAGCAGTAGACTAGACTTACTTGCATAGACCATCAAGGGTTACTGGATGCAGCAGTCACCTGATCAACAAAAAATAGGAAACCTAGGGTCGAACCAAAATATGAACGAGAAAATTAAGATTTAACTGAAATATGATCTGAAAAAGTGGAAATCAACAGAAATGGGTAAGGAAAGAAATTCATTCTATTTGCATATATTTAAGGATTTGGCGATAAACAAGTGTCAGTTGGTATGAGCAATCAGTAGTTTAATGTGACCAGTTTTACTTGCATTTTCAGTATTTACCTTCTTTTCTGTTTGAAATCATTAAATATTACCATGTCTGTATGGTTAAGTTTGATCCATCAAGCAGTGTTAGTCTCACAATACAGTTTTTGGTTGTTTTTTTCCATAAGAACAATCCTTTTTATTATTTTGTTTTCAATTATTTTCAATCAAACCAGCATGTTTTTTAATTCAATTTCCTTTCTTTAGTCGGTATTTCATATATTTATGTAATGTGATAAAAAAAATTGTTTTGCATGTTTTGTTTTATTGACTTTCATGGGTAATATATGTATAAAAATTTCCTTCAAATTGAAAATCGTATTTCTGCTCCAAATTCATCTATAACCGAATCATCCCAAACAAACACGAACATCCTTCATGGGGGTACGATGGGAGATGGATCACGGTAGATTCTTCTGATGTTTGCAGGAGATTGGGTCGAGATTTAACCAAGATTTGTTCAAATTTATCCCAGATTTACCCCGATAAGGATCTCGGGTCCCAGAGTCTGATGTGTTTGTGGGTTTCACCAGGTGTCTTAACACCTACGTCTGTTTGGGCTTTCTTCCCACTTTCACAATAGAACTTAAAAACAGTTAAAAATCTCAGTCTTGCTTTGGATGAGAAAGAATGACACTAGGAAGAAAATTTTGCAAAATAGTTCATGCATTGAGGAAGTTCTGTACATGCATAAAGGGTCTTGTTCAACAGAAAAGATTAATAGATGTTAAAATCTCATAATTGATACTTCAGTTTACAGAAACCACTTAATCAACAAACATCGAAACAGATTTGAAGTACTTATATTAAGCTCTACGTTTTGCTCCTTGAGGTCAATGAAAATACACAGTAACACTGACACAGATTTTTCAGTAAAACCATCAACCAGTCTTCTTGTTACTTTTGAGGCTGTAATTGTTATGATCGTGAGTACTCCATGGTTTGTATATGCAATGTTCAAGTGAGATAAACTGGGTAACACTGTCTTCATATCTGTAGTTAGACAGCTAGTCTCTGAAATGAACATATTTTACAGAGAAAAAGTTCATAGAACAAAAAACAAATGTAATGAAAAGGAGCCATTAGACTTTCTTCATTTTCTAGACTTGTGTTGGCTTTCATGGATATGTATGCTTCAGGGTCTGTATGTGACAGACTAAGCTGAAGTACACTTAGTCAACACTGTGTATTCACAGGTGAGATGCAGTTGATCAACCCTGTGTATTCACAGGTGAGATACAGTTTATCAACCTTGTATTCACAGGTGAGATACAGTTTATCAACCCTGTATTGTATTCAGTTGGTGAGATACAGGTGAGATACAGTTGATTAACCCACAGGTGAGATACAGTTGATCAACCCTGTATTCACAGGTGAGATACAGTTGATCAACCCTGTATTCACAGGTGAGATACAGTTGATCAACCCTGTATTCACAGGTGAGATACAGTTGATCAACCCTGTATTCACAGGTGAGATACAGTTTATCAACCCTGTATTCACAGGTGAGATACAGTTGATCAACCCTGTATTCACAGGTGAGATACAGTTGATCAACCCTGTATTCACAGGTGAGATACAGTTGATCAACCCTGTATTCACAGGTGAGATACAGTTGATCAACCCTGTATTCACAGGTGAGATGCAGTTGATCAACCCTGTATTCACAGGTGTGATGCAGTTGACCAACCATGTGTATTCACAGGTGAGATACAGTTTATCAACCCTGTATTCACAGGTGATTATACACTTGATCAACCATGTGTATTCACAGGTAAGATGCACTTGATCAACCATGTGTATTCACAGGTGATTATACACTTGATCAACCATGTGTATTCACATGTGATTATACCCTTGATCAACCATGTGTATTCACAGGTGATTATACACATGATCAACCATATGTATATTCACATATGAGGTGCCCTTGATCAACAGAGTATTCACAGGTGACATAGAAACCTATGAAGTATTGATGATGAAATGTTTTCATGATCATACCACAAGAAGTAACCAATTTATAGACTATATATTCAAGAGCAGTCATTAGCATCTGAAGACTCTATGTTGAGGAATACCTGTATTCAAATGTGATATGTTCTATAGTCACGAGCGACTCAGTCGTTTTCTGATTGATAAATGGGAGTCCAATATACCAAAAACTGTTTGAAGGATGGTCATTTTTTACTTGTCATGTTAGAACTAGGGCTGGCTTTGATATAAGTCCTAGAGATTGATTATCATAAACTAAATATCAGTTGACTATCGATAAATATCGGAGAAGTAACTTTGAGGGAAAGTGGGAAAAGGGCCAAATGAAATCAACATGTATTAAATCACTGGGGAGTGGTGACATTTATGCCTAGATTTCACAAAGAAAGATTTCATTAACATAGTTTAGAAGTGGCCCATGAGTAAAGATCTAACTTTGAGCATTATGTGTGTGAATTAAAACATGTATTTCATCACAATAATATATGGAAGTGATGACAGATTTTTCATATCAAAATCGTTGATAATATGTACCATTGATGATATTTCTGATTATCAATCTTTTTAGCCAACCCTAGTGAAAACTTGTATCAGCTTTTTTTATGAAGGTGTCCACATTCATGGCCATGTGTTTGTACAAATGTTTTCATCCTTTTATTCATGTGATCATCAAGGAACTAACGAGTTGTGTGCTATTATTCAGGGTAGTAAGTACACACATATTCTAACCTGGGTAGATAGCATCTCTGATTATCATGGTATTACGTCTTCACTGTGTCATGTATGACCTCTGACCTATTTGCAGCTGTGTCCAGATAAAAAAACCATTTCAAATCAACTGTATTTTCACAATTAAAACAAGAAGTAGTTTCACACATCATTAACTTGACATTTTCATGGTGTCACAAATTCATCAGGAATGTCTTTAACATCATGACTTACCTCCCCTGTGTAAACGATCTTCAATCTCCATAGTCTTGTGGACTGTGTGTGTACGGAGAGCGGAATCTACATGGTTCATTCAAGAGCGAGGGGTATCTTTGCTACATATGCAATAAAAGACATAAAGCTGGTGCTCACTTTCCCTATGAAGTTATGGTGTCAAATTGGTCTGTTTCAAAATAGTTATAAAACTCTGGGGCACCACATATATACCCTTCTTGACCAAAATGTTGGCTTAGTTCATACACTGGGCCTAGATTTTCGAAGCTCTCTTAGCGCTAAGATAGTCTTAGGTTAATGTTAATGTATGGCGCTTACGCCTATCTTAGCGTTAAGAGAGCTTCGAAAATCTAGGCCCTGGTGCTTAGCCTCTGAATATATCTTACTATGATAGAAACAACCTTCTAACTTTAAAATGAAACAGTGCCCTGTAATGTTGAGGATTGTCAAGCTGGAAGATCTAGACATGCTTCATTGAGAGCTATACCATTACAACAGTGTATGAAATAAGGCCCGTCCAGCCGCCCGAGATGGTCTAGATTTCAGACAGACAGTTTGGATTTACAGCTAGCCAGCCCGATGATCTGGTAAAAATTTAGATGTTATATACATCTGAGTCATATCTTGGTGTCTGGTCTGGTTAAATCCATTGGACTGGTAACATTTTGAAGTTTCCAGCCCTGATGTCTGGCTGGGGTTTTGGCTTATTTCATACACTGATTACAATAAGCCCAGCATAAGTTAATATAGATCTGGGACTGTGAGTGAGACGAGGTCAGTTTATTTTGAAAATGTTAGTTGTTCCAAGAAAGGGATGGTTCATCGGAGATAAATGAATGCCGCAGTACAGTGTTTCCCTTACAGTAGAATACGCAAGAGTGTCTGTGTCTCTTTAGTCCTAATAATTACTTAATTGTGGCCAAAAGAATTTTTATAAGACATGTAGTGTTACCCTCTGTGGAGTCCATGTTAGAATAGGTCCTGTGTTTGTTTTAAGAAGAATAATGGACAAGGTGTCCAGGTCTGTGACTTGGTTCACTGAATGTGATTGTAACGAGATGGAGTGGGTTTTTGCTCATCATATCGATCACTGGTTACCTTGTCCAGACTGTTATTATCATACTGCCATCACATAACTGGAATATTGCTATTAAATAACAAGTGCATTTTTTCATAAGGTAATAAGGGGCGGTGGGGTAGCCCAGTGGTTAAAGCGTTCGCTCGCAAGCCGAAGACCCAGGTTCGATTCCCCACATGGGTACAACGTGTTAAGCCCATTTCTGGTGTGCCCCGCCGTGATATTGCTGGAATATTGCTAAAAGCGGCGTAAAACCATACTCACTCACTCATAAGGTAATAATGATTTTATTGTTAAGTGTACTACTAGGTAAATTGAAAAACATGTGAATTGGTTATGGCTGGTTATTTTAAACATTCTTTTTAAGGAGTTAATGTAAATGCAGAAAATGAGATAATTCTGTCGGTATATTAAGTACAATCTTCTAATTAGTCTCATTTCTCTTTCCGTCCGATAAACTGAGTTATGGCAATAATCGTAATGTACATCTTGTGTGTGTAGTGATCATTATCATCATGGTCACGGAGTATCTGTACATGGATTACACAAGGCCTTTTCTTAGCTACTACTTCCTTTACACATTTTGTTCTGAAATTAAGTTCATTTTGAAGTTTTGCATCCATTAATATTTTGAGAAGTTTGTTTTTCTCCATTTCAACCCACATAGGATTGTCTCAAATCAATTTCAATCCATGGTTGGGAATTTCTCAGACAGTGGATTTCATTGAACTGAGATTTAGTCTCTGCAATTAAAATTTTTTGGTTATAATTGTTTTTAATACGTTGTATGGTTGGGCTTGTTTGGAATATTCAGATATATCTGCTGAATGTCTGTATGAGAGATTCAAGCAAGTAAAGATAATTGCCTTAAGGTACCAAACAAAGGTTAGAACATCTACTTTGTACTGTTTATAATTTTGTACTTTAATCTCAGTGTGTTTGTGTTTCATGTTATAGTTCCTGAAGAAGTCATGATTATTCTTGTGATTTGGGTACTGAATAACATGATCATTTAGATGATTTGTGATTTGTATAAAAGGTTAATCGGTCACCCTAGTGTTGAATATTTTTTTATGCTTAAAAGTGTTGTTATGCTTTTTAGAACCGACAATTCAAGATTCTTGGGGGACTGGGAATCAAGTTTTTAATAATTTCTTTATCCCAGGGTTTTATCCAAAGTGATCATCGATAGAACTAGGCACATCTTTGAGGACGATGAAAGGTCACATCATAAGACATGTAACTATTTTTCGTGAGAATCCTTAAAGCTGAACTTGGCTGTCCTAAACAATAATTTTCGGGAAAGACAATCAAATTGTTCATCTCTTCCCTTCTCAGAAAATATTTGTGTTTTAAAGCAGTGACCAACAAGTTTCTGTCTCTCAAGTTTCCCATACCTCCAGAATTTTGAATGTCTGATCCCTACTGAATAATTGCACTGCTATGTGTAGTGGGTTGAAGTATTTTCATTTTTCTCAGTGCTTTTAATTGTTGGGAGTTCATTGGTTTATGTTATCCAATGTGATATGTACCTAGAGCAGCTTCCTGTGTATTTATCTGAAGCTGTCTGGAGATTGTATGACCTTGAAAGACGGTTCAGTCTACACAATGAAATCGGAAACCAATGTATTCCTGATAATGTGGTGCAATGTGCTGTGAACGTGTTAGTGACATCTCATGGGTGATACGGATTTAAACAGTTGAGGTGGGACACAAGCCTACTGACGTCATGTGGGCAGGTGAGGTGAGGTGAAATTGGGTTTAACGTCGTGCATGAGAATATTTCGCTCATATGACGACGTGCTTGCATGTGTATGTGTGGCTGCTTGTACTAGCCCAGACTTGAGCTGGTTTTATAGTGCTAGTCCACTGAGATACCATGTCGCAGTGAAGCATGAATACCCCACTCAGACACATTATACTGACTCCGAGCCGACCAGTCCTTGTTGTACCCATTAATGCCGAGCGCCAGGCAGGAACCAACAAGTCACACCACATTTTAACGTGTTTTGGTATGGCGCGGTCGGGGACCGAACCCGCGACCTTCCACTCTCTCGTCATGTTGGCAGGAAACATGATACATCCCACTTCAAACCGTGAGCCAAGGCTTCATCCCTTCTGAGGGGCGGCGGGGTAGCCTAGTGGTTAAAGCTTTCGCTCATCATGCCGAAGACCCGGGTTTGATTGCCCACATGGGAACAATATGTGAAACCCATTTCTGGTGTCCCCGCCGTGATAATGCTGGAATATTGCTAAAAGTGGAGTAAAACCATACCCACTTACTCACTCACTCACTCACTCAATCATCCCTTCTGAATCCTCACCTCTACCTTAGCACTGCATATACAGGGTAGTTACACAAAAACTAATTAACACACATGATAGGGTGAATATTTATATTGGTGCAACATAAGTTTTATTTGGGATAACACTTTCCTAGTAAAGTACAGATTCTAAATTAGTGGGTAAGATAGACTTTGTGTGCTGGTGATAGGTGTTTAGTCTGAGAGTGTGTTTTCAAATCTTGGATGGGACTCAACCCCAAAAAGTACTTGAATCTGTACTTTACTGAGAAGGTATAATCTCAAATATAACATGATGCATTTACTAAATGGCAATGTGAATTCCCATATATTGGTGAACATGTGTAAATTAGATCTCTAAGACAGACGAATTGTTGATTTGTAGAGTTGCGTTTGGTATTAAAACTGTCATGCTGTTGTCAATATGATGACCAGTGAAATACCTCTAGTAAGGGTGTATATTGACATACTTGAGTTACAGAATGACACCTGAAGTTTTTGCAGTCATGATGATTGTGTTTAATGTTAATGACAGATTAATGTTGGGCAGGTAAATACTATCAGATCCTTCATGATAGACAGGTACTGTTAATTAACTATTACAATGGGATGGTATGGGGAAATGGATACAGAATGGAGATACATTGCTTTTGATATTGTATCCTGAGGTCTGAAATAGGCAGGCAGATACCTGCTAGTGGATTTGAATCACGGATTACTGTGATAATGTTTCAAGGCTTGTGAAAACCATATGGTTTGGGGTTTTACTGAAGTGGTAGAATATTCGAGACCTGCGTTACAACCCATGTCAAGCTGGCTTACTGTGACATATCTGAAATACTGTTCAAAATGGCATTACACCAAATTCTGCTCTTTCAGTAAGCATGGGATAAACATATGGACCCATTCTGCTCCAAACTACCATGTTAAAGAACTTAGTAACAGGTTAACTATATATTTTGTTCAGGCAAGAGTGTATATACAAGAAGAATTATGAATATTTATTCATGGCGGAAAAACATTGTGTTTCATTATAGTGTAGTAGGTGAGTAGTTTGACTGACAAACTATATATCAATGTATGAAATAAGGCCCATCCGGCCGCCCGAGACAGGCTAGAATTCTGCCGGACGGTCTAATTTTACAGCTAGCCAGCCCGACGGATGGGTGAAAAAAACATGTTCAGATAACATGTCCGTTGGCACTGTCTATTTAGTATTTAAGATGGACTGGTTAAATCTCTTCTGGGCTGGGTTTTTGAAGTTACCAGCCCAGATGTCTGGCTGGGTTTTTGTCTTATTTCATACACTGTATATATGACATTACATGTCCAGTATAGCATGCAGAATTCATGGCAAAGGAATTTTAATATTTCTTATTTAAAAATAAACAAGTCTGGTTAGACAAGGATATGGTTGGCATTTATTGAGCTTATTTTATCAATTTTTATCCGGTTAACATATTCTACAAAAACTGTTGCCTCCATTAACTGTACTTGGGCTTGTGTCGTGATTGGGGCACAGCTAAATGTTCTGGTCTGGTTGGTCACTTGTATCATGTGTATCTTGTATCCCTTTCCGATGGCATACTCCCAGTAGTCCTCTTTGTACAAGTCTGCTGCTCAACCAGCATGTGTCTCAATACTTGCACAGATGACTTCATAGGGATTGTAGGGGCGGTGGGGTAGCCTAATGGTTAAAGTGTTGGCTCGTCACACCGGAGACCCGGGTTCGAATCCCCACATGGGTACAATGTGTGAAGCCCATTTCTGGTGTTCCCCGCTGTGCTGTTGCTGGAATATTGCTAAAAGCGGCGTAAAACCAAACTCAGTCAGTCAGTCATAGGGATTTGTACTGCTCTGTGACTGAAGTCTCATGACAGTGTTTTATTGGATTGAAAGAAACAGTTGCAAGAGCAACTGATGTCATCAGTGCTCTTGTAACTCAACATTTTTATATCCAAAGGTACAGTCACTTGTCCTGAATCATTTTCAAGGTTAATACAGCTGATGTTGAAATGTGAACCTAAAACTGAACAGTTAGTGGTTAAGCTGATATGGGGATCTTTTTTAAATTAAGGAAAATACTTGGTTATAGAAAATATTAGAAAAATTACATTGGTTTGGAAAAATAAAATAGATACTGAACCAGCTAGGACTGACAGCACAGGTGTAGAGGTTCACAGTGTAGTGCTGTACTGGAGCTGTGGTACCCAGAAACGTTACCTGAAACAGCAGGATACCTGTGTGGAGTTATGGTAGTTCCATCATGTTGGCCTTCATTGTATGGACATTCTGTAAGATGGACTTTCATCCGACTTTTACTGTTTCTTTGTTCTCCAACATGTATATTTTGCTGCGGGGTTAAGTTATGGTTTATATTTATTGATGTACATTTGATTATTTTCAGGCATTGGTTCTTGAGCAATTTCTATGAATAAACCCATCCTTCACAGACTATGTTGTGTTGTAAATATACTCTTAGAAAATAGAGACACAATGTATTGGTGTGAGAAGCAGCTGGACATGTATTGCATCTGAACTCTTCTTGAGTGATGACGAAGCAAGCAGTTGATGCTAGTTCGTGATGAAGATATGTTTTATGTCCAGCATGTATACAGATCATGGTGAATATTAACCCATGTCATTTGTGTATCAAATGCAGTCTTTTGGCTGCCATTCGAATTAAGTTGTTGGCCTCATCCTAACCTGTTCCGTAGTTGTCTTATTCACTTCACATATGACTGGAGTTATTTAGCATCTTGTGGAAGATGAGGTCTACACCTATCTTGGTTCACGACAAGCTCCAGGATGCCCAAATTCAAGACAAGCTTTGGGCCAAGTATATATCGTGCTCAAAGAAAATCTGGAGCTCAGAGCTAAATGCTTGAAACAAGGTCAAAGCCACAAAAGCCATTGCTGTTCCAGTCATTTCCTATTCCTTTGGAGTAGTTGATAGGACATCCAGAGTCTTGACCACCTGACAAGAAGGATCATGTTTGATAACAGCCCACCACCCTCAGTCCTCTCTTAATCGTTTATATATGGGGTTTGATTAATGTGGAGGCTCTTCATGATAGAATTCAGTTATCCTCTGGTGATGCATGTCAAGACTCATGATGAAAGCAAGCAATTCCACAGCTATTTTAAGCGAGCCAAGGTTTTTGGACAGAATCTCGAATTTCCTTCACCAAGTCTGCCCAGAGTCGGTCATTTGTGGAGAAACTTTCAGAGAAACGATCGCATCGTGTGTACATGCAGTGTGTGGAACAGAACAGTTATTCAACCGTGGTGAACACTTGGTGAAGGACTTTATTACTCCCATAGGCCAGTCACTTCCCACTCGCAATCGCCAAAATGTGATTCTTAAAGAAAATATTTATATGAAATGTTGACTGTGCATTGAATTTACAGAGAGTGTCCAATACCTTGTCAGTGGATACCCTTCCTTGGCACAATCCCTTTATCTTAAAATGGCATGGCTCATTACCTCTATTGTCGTTGTGCTGTGCCTATGGCTTTGACTCTGAGGTCCATCCATGGTACGACCGTCTTTGGAATAGGCCCACATACAGCTTAAGAAAGATTCCTGCCAACAAACCTGATCAAATATGCGGACCTCGCCTTTGTCTCTCTTGCATCCCAAGTACACTGTCGCCACTCGCCAGGCTCCCCATTGTTCTCGGTGCCCTTGCTTTGGTACCTCCTGATCTCTTCGCCCAGTTATGAGCACACCTATCACGTAAAGACG